AAAACATTGCTACAACACACGAGAGGTAAGCAAGCTGCAAGTGACATCTGTTTGTGCGTACACACAATCACATGGTAATTAAATGACAATTGATATATATATATATATATATATATATATATATATATAGATAGATAGATAGATAGATAAAACCAACAAAGATAGATATATTACTTGATATATTACTTTATATAGATAGATAGATAGATAGATAGATAGATAGATATATTACTTTATATATATATAGATATATTACTTTGTGCCCAGCCCTGGGGAACAGCTGCCCGAGGCCGGGCCCTCCCATTGCACCAGAGGAGAGGGGGATCGGTGCTCGCACCGAGGCCAGCGTAACTGACCGTTGTGGGGGCTGAGGGGAATTTTTGTCCCTGCCGAGTGTACGCGCTCGGGTCTCCACATTAAACCGACCTTGTGTCACATCTCATTCTCGTGGGGGAAAGGGTAATTTTTTATAGATAGATATATTACTTATATATGATAGATTACTTTATATATAGAGATATATTTATATATATAGATAGATAGATAATTAATTCGTATACCTAAAGGTCTCTAAATGTATTTTCATAAATGAAAAATCTTTCATCGAGCTTTTATTTTAGCTTTAATTGAAAGATAAGTGATTCATTATTTACTTTTTGCCAGTAAATAAAATACTCTGATGTATTTCAAACAGAAATTATATTGATTGGAATCGATTCATTGTGAGGGCTAAAAAAAAAAAAAAATCGCTGATTAGTATACTTTTTAGCCATCTCTCATCACACTGAGTTTTCATTATAAAAAAAAACTTCCAAAAATAAAATCTACTTTTCTGAAACTTTATTTGAGGAATATTATCTGATTTGAAGTATAATTAATTTGATCTGAAACAAATGTTATTTACTTAAGTTGAAAATAACAAAGAAATGGATTTAAAAACAAACGGTAGTGCGATTAAATGCTTGTCATGCTTGTTACCGTGTTGACACTTTTATTATCTGTTAAAACATAATTTAAGAAAATGACAAATGAATGCATTTTTATATAATTTTTAAGTACTCAATAATCTTAAAAATGTTGGAAATAATCTAATTTTAGGAATGCTGACTTTAAATTTACTACCATGATTGATTTTCTTACAATGTAGTATATGGTCAATCATACTTTTAAAATCGGCACGTTTACATATGAAAACAATTACAAAATTATCTTAAAAATATATGGACGTTATGATTTTGTATTCTTGTCATGTGCCATGTCCTTTCAAGACGTAGGCGATCATGGCTCTTCACCTCCTTCTATCCCTTGCCCTCCTTCCCTCTACTACCCCCCCTCAAGACCACATTCTGTCATCCACTTGCTTAAAAGCCCGCTAGGTATTTCATGCGTTGTTTTCCTTTGTCTCTGTTTCCCTCTATTCGACATGTGAGTATCAGATTCTCCAGGACCCCCTTCCTCATTTTGTGTCCCAGAAACTTCAGTTGCCTCTTCCTGATGTTAAGTATAAGCTTCCTCCTTGTTTGCATCCTCTCTAAGACCTCATCATTGCTCACACGCTCGGTCCATATCCTTAGCATCCTTCTGTAGAACCACATCTCTGTCGCCTAAAGTCTCTTCTTCATCTTTGAGGAAATCATCCCACTTTCGCTGCCGAAGGACAGATAACACGTAACAGCTCAGTACTCGTTTCTTTGTTACCAAAGAAATCCTCCTGCCTCGCAATACTTTACCCAGCTTTTGGAACGTGTCCCTGGCCATCCCAATACGTCTACGGATCTCAGTGTCGCACTTACTGTCTCCGAAGCTTTTCAATTGTCGCTTAATAAATATAGTCTTCACTTAATAACTTCTTAATAACCTAACGAATTCAATGCTTGGAAGAATTTTAGAAACATTTTTGAAACTTTATAAATTATTATAATTAAAAACAAATTAAAACAATTCTTATAAACATTTATCGAAAAGCTTATTTTTAGACTATAATGTCCTTTTATATATATATATATATAAGCATTTCACCCCAAACAAGATGGGAGTGCCATTAGGACGCAAGGGGTTACAGAACAAAAGGCGTGTTTGGGGAGAGGATACAGAAAAGGACGGGGATCAAAGTATCAGAAGATGTCGATTGATATTACACTTGAATATTTGAAGCTTATAGTTATCATGGAAGCAAGTAAGAGGAAGGGAGTTTCACAGACGGGAAGTGCGAGAGAAAAATCTGTTTGAGTAGAAGAGACGGTTACATTTAACCGTTTCGACAGTGAAAGGGTGGGACCGAGATGCCAGCCTAGTAGCACGCTTAAATTTATGCAGTCTGGGAACCAGAGAAAGCGATTCGTCGGAACAGATCCTGTGAAAATACTTATAGAAGAAACAGAGGAAAGCCACGGCACGTCTGTGAGAAAGCGACTGTAAACTAGATGCCAGATCAGGTCATATCGAGACTTACAGCGGGGGCACCAGACCATATTATGACAGCAATATTCCATGCAAGGACAGATGGTTGATTTATAGATTTGAAGAATGGACTCAGATGAGGAAAATATTTTGGCATGACACAGAGAACCAACTTTCCTTGCGGTAGATGAAGCTATTGAGTATTTATTTGCTCCACCTCATATCAACGGACACCGTGAGACCAAGCAGGCGCAAAGAGGCGCTTTCGAGGAGTTGGGCATCAGCCATTCTGATGGGAGAAAGGATGGGTTCTCTGTGGTGGGTAATTGAGAGCAAATATTATTTATAAAAAACAATTAAAAGCTTATCTAATTAAATAATTATATAGTTTTATTGCAGTTTTTATTCTACGATTCGAAGCAGATTTTAAGGAATTTGGTAAGAGTTTGAAAAAAATTGATTATTTACATTCTCCAAGGAGTCCTGTGTTTAATTAATAAAACAAATTTGGAAAGTGGAATTTAATTTCTTGAAATTTCATGAAATTAAGTGTGTGTGTGTGTGGGGGTGTACAGGTGTAAAAAAAATTGCAAGATTTTCTAAAAATAATATTTTCAAAAATAAATTAATTTGTGAATAAGTGCTGAAAATTTCATTACAATACAAAAATTATTTGATTTCTACAAGAATTTCCAAATTAATGTGTTATTTTACCGGTTTTAATATGGCGCAAAAATGTTCATTACCAGCTCTGTTACACTGTTGGCGCATAAAAAAACAAAAAAAATATTTAACCTGAATTTCGAACGTGTTAGAAAGGAATAAAAAATTTAAAAAATATTTTGCTCTTTCCTCTTAATAATAACGTAAACATTTTGATGATAAAACTTTGCTTATACTAAGTTTGGGGCCTTTTTTCATCATGGTATGTTCTTTTTTTCAGCGATTTAGTGGAGATTTTATTTCTGTACATTATGCATAAATTTCTGTTTGTTTATGACTTTATATTTTTTATCATTTTCATTCTCTTTCAGAACCCTATGAATAATGAATACAAAAGAACATAACTTTCTTGATCCCCCCACCCATCTCTGGATTTATTTACAAGGTGTTTCAAAGGTTTATCGCCTGGAGATCAATAGTTTAGCTGAGCTTAAAGGACGCATTCAGTTTGAAGTGTAGGAGGAGATAACTCCTGAAATGCTTCAAAATGTGTTTTCGCAATGCCAAGCAGAGATTTGAAAGTTTAGGCGAGTGACTTTTTTTGCGATATATGCAGTCGCGTTACCCAACAGCCGGACATTGCAGTTCCCCGCCAGTTAGGAGTTAGACACCCGGCCGTAGTGCAATGTTTACTTTAGAAAGCCCATTTGACAGGTCCCTTCCATATGCAACAGTGGATCGACTCAAGTATATAATCGGTCTCCCCTACCCAATATTTTGCCGAATTTAGATAAATTTATACTTTTGAAATTTCATTATTTACTCAGATGATTCTAGGTTTGTTACAAGGCCACACATGAGAATCTAACTCACTATCCAGTAGCAATGATTATGACCATGATGCTCTGTAATGTATTCTTTCCTGTCTAAAAATTAAACGTCCACCTTTCAAGGGAGATAACTATGAATCCCCTCATCAGTTCAGTGACACAATTTGCATTCTTTAAAAAAACTTTCAGTCATTTAATTAAAAAAAAAAACAAAAAAAAAACGTAATTTTGTGGTGGCAGCGGCGGCTGCTGCAATGCTTTTGGTAGATACAATCCAGAGAAAAAAAACAAAAACAAACAAACATTATCTTCTTTTAGAAATAAAACTTGGGATTCAAACTCAAATAAAATAAAATTAATTTATTTTTCTGTCGTGCTTTTTCTTGCTCAAATCTAAGTCTACTATTCCGCCACAGCTTAGAATATGGTCTGGTGCTGCTGCTATATATTTAGAGATCCTTGATAAAATCCAAAGAATTTGTATTATTATTCTTGATATCTTACCTTCAGTCACTCTCCCACCGCCGTAATGTAGCTTCCTGTGTCTTTTCTATAAATACTTTCATGGTAATTGTTCTGAGGAACTTTCCTCTCTGGTACGTAGACTTTATGAATTTAAGTGCAGTACTAGATTGACAACAAGGTCTCATCAATTTACAGTTGAAATGGCTAAAAATGTAACCGTAACGGCTAACAGTTTCTTTTCTCACTTGTGGAACTTTATTTGGCTCTTTTGCTTCCAATCACGTTTGATCTTCAAAAATTTAAATGCAATGTCAATCATTATCTTCCATTTGAATTCCTGTTCTTTTATTGTTTTTGCTCCTTAATAATGTTTTTCTCATAGTCTTTAACACTTAGTAACCCCTTGCATCTTAGTGGCCTTTTGCTTGTGATGAATTAAAAGAAAACAAAAAAAAAAAAACCTTACCTAATAAAATTGCATTTAGTTTTTGCATGGCACGTAGAATTTTTTTCTATACAATTATTTTTGCATATAGAACCCCCCCCAAAAAAAACAATTAAAAATAGAAAAGTCCAAAGAAAGCAAACACAAAACAAAAAGCAATGCCTTATTAGCAACCCTCATCTCCTTTACTTATAGCTTACAGCCATATCATATCAAAACACTGGTTCCTGTATGATCAGTGAAGTTAAGCAACGTCCAGCTTGGTCAGAACTTAGATGGGTGACTGCTTGGGAACACCAGGTGCTGTAAGCTTTGATGTGCAACTGGTGTAATGGATAATGGCTCAGAATTGAAAATTGAAGAGGCAAGTTTCAATTCCAGTTGGGTTCGTTATATTAGCTTATGTGCAAATACCCATGAGAAAGGTATGAATCCATCTCTTCCCTCTAGCTATGGGTTAATTAGAAGAACTTGTATCAGTAAATCATTATCTCAGAAATTGCTTACAATCTAAAAATACATTATGGCTTTAAATAACCAGAAAAAGGTTGATAAGCTGTAAAAAAAGAAAAAATTCAATCAATCAAAAACCCTTACTCATGAGATATTCCAATGTCATGGTAACACAAGTCACACCAATTAATGTAGGTACCTCCACAAAAATTAAATACAGAATTTTAAAAGAACTTAAGAAATTTTTCTAATTAAAATTTAAAAAAAAATGAAAACAATTCTTCTAAAAATTCATTATTCATTGAAAAAAATATTTATCTTAAGTGTCCTTAATAAATCTTATTTATAAAAGCAATTTAAAGCTTTTCTATTTAAGATAAATGGTGTTTGTTTGACAAAAAAACATTTAATTAAGATGAGACCGTAACAAATGTAAAAAAAAAAAAAAAATTTAAATAATTCATTTGTGAATATGTCCTGAATATTCCATTAAAATTTGACAATTATTTGAACTTTGCAAGAATTTCCAAAACAATGTTTTTTTTACTGAAAAGAAAAGAGAGAGAGAGAGAGAGAGAGAGAGAAAAGCTAAATTTCTTTTACCCACCGGCTGATAGAAGAAAACAAGATTTTAAACCAAAATTTCTAACGTGTTACAAAGGATCAAATAATTTAATAAAATAAACAAAAATACTTTGGTCTTCCCTCTTAATAATAACAAACATTTTGATGATAAAACTTTGTTTTCATCATGCTATGGTCTATTTTTTTTGCAAAAAAGTGGTGGTACCTAAATTAATAGCGTTTGTTAGCAATGGAACATTTCATTAAGAAGGAGGTATCAGGTTGTGTAACTGATGAATAAATTCATTGTTTCCTATTTGAGAACTCCTGATTATAACCAGCAACAAAACTTAATATTAACATCAGACGAGACAGAATCTGAAAAAAGAAAAAAAAAAAAAAAAAAAAAACCCTCTTTTTCACATTTGACAATGGTTGTCTCGCTGCCCTAATAGGGATGTTATTAGTTTTCTGCTAGAGCGAAAGGACTTTGGTTGTCTCGCTGCCCTAATAGGGATGTTATTAGTTTTCTGCTAGAGCGAAAGGACTTTGGTTGTCTCGCTGCCCTAATAGGGATGTTATTAGTTTTTTTCTGCTAGAGCGAAAGGACTTTGGTTGTCTCGCTGCCCTAATAGGGATGTTATTAGTTTTCTGCTAGAGCGAAAGGACTTTGGTTGTCTCGCTGCCCTAATAGGGATGTTATTAGTTTTCTGCTAGAGCGAAAGGACTTTGGTTGTCTCGCTGCCCTAATAGGGATGTTATTAGTTTTCTGCTAGAGCGAAAGGACTTTATCCTTGTGCTTTGCTATAAGTTTCCTTCTGCCTTTTCTGCAAATATTTTCACATTAATTGTACAAAATTGGCAGTTAGGTCTCATCATTCCACTATTGAAATTGATAAACGTAATCCTCAGTTCTGTGCAAATTCCTTATGGAACTCTCTTCAGAAATTTAAATCCAGTGTCAATCATTGTCTTCTGTCTCTTTGAATCTTGTTCTTCTATTGTCGTCTCTGTTTCTGTCACATTTGATAACCTCTTGCATTTTGGTGGCTTTTATTGACTTGTCATGGGATGGATGGATTTGTTTTACCAGCATATCAACACCTGTGGGTTATTTAATGCTGAAACTGGATTTTTATTCAGGAATATTTCAGAACATTTCAAGTGGTTGTGAGATTTTAAATTGTTTTCAAAATATCACAAGTTATATAGTTCAGGAGTATTTTAAAGCATAAGTTGTATGGTTCAACATGCTTGCTCTATTTTCTGTAGAAGTTGGAAGTATTTTATTTTCTTCAGATATCCTATTATTTGGGCAAGTAGGTACATTTTTTTTTAAATCATGTTAAGATTTTGAGCTTGGTAATAGTTACTATGTATTTTTTTGTACTTTTTACATTCTATCGAGATATGTTTGACTGAGAAATTGGCTGCAATGAGTACATTGAGATTTAGTTTTTGCCTTGAGCAGATTCTGGTAGATGAAGCTATTGATTCAATGTAGTTGTTCCACCTCAGGTCAATGGAAAATGCGAGACCAAGTATGGCGCAAAGAGATGGTCTCGTGGAGTTGGGCATCAGTCAAGGTCGATCAATTAAAATGTTGCAAGCTTCAAGAAGAAATGCCGAAAAATATAATATCTAAAACAGGGGTTGGCAACCCCAGACCATATCTGGCTCACAAAGCATTTTTGTCCGGTCTGCCAGCTTAATACTGGGATACTAATTATGTAATTAATTTGTAGAGCAAGTTGCAGAAAAAATATCATTTGGAGTTAACTGACTTACAATGTGACAAATTTTTTAAATCAAAATTTCATTACGAATCCACTGCTGACTTCTATAAGAAATATGTTTTGACAAACGGAAAATATAAAAATCTATTGAATAATATGAAAATGATTGTATCATTATTTGGAGGTACATATGCTTGTGAACAACTTTTTTCAAAAATGAAATCTACTAAGAAGAACATTTAAGAACAAGATTAAATGATGACCACCTGGATGATGTTTTGCTTCTGTCATCGACAAATATTTCACCTGATGTGAAGAAGTTATCAAACAAGAAACAAGTGACTCATTAAATAATTTACCATTTCTAACTGTATTTTGTTTGTAGTAAGGAATTTGCATTTTTTGTTGATTGTGTTAATTGTAAAATAAGAAACCTTGTTTAAATAATATAGCATTAACTTTGTTGTTTTCTTTTTAAACTTTCAGGCCAAGGCAGCCTTCTGAACAAAGCAGTCCGAGATAGAGACAGATTTGTTATAATAGATTTGATAAAATGGGCCTCCTCCAAGATAATGCATAGCTTTCTGGCCCGCTCTCTCCAAAAGGTTGCCAACCACTGATCTAGAATATGAATGCATAGGGCTGGACGAAAATTTTAGTCACAAGTAAAACACCACAAAATTTGTTAAGCCAACTGAGAGTGAATGAATTGTACAAAGCCATTAATTTTGGGTTAAATCTTTAACATTTTTGCTCACTTGTAATTATCTGTACCAAAACGAAAAGGAAATTTCACTGATATGTAGATATCGTTTTTTTTTTTAAAAAAAAAAGTTTTTAAGAAAAAAAAGTTTCACTTGATTGATTAATAAATGATTCAAGGGAGGGGAGGGGGGGAGAAAAAAAAAAAAAAAAATTTAGGACAATTTTTTTTAATAAATACATAACAAAAAAAAGTAAAAATAAAAAACGAAAAATGTTCATGGCCAGCTGAAATCTTACAATCCCAGCAGAAACATTTTGAAATGATCAAAGAAGTTCCAGAGAGAATGGCAGATAAAAAAAAAAATAAAAAAAAAATAAAGGAAATAAGAAAAGAAAAGAGAAATTATTTATTTAAAAAAAAAAAAAAAAAAAAAAAAAAATGCTCCTCAAACATTCAACTCGGAATTCTGGAAACTATGTACAGTCATTTTCCCCAATCGCTTAATATATATTATATATATATATATATATATATATATATATATTAGATATAAAAAAGGGGTAGGGGTCTGGCATTTGGCCATGTGGAAAGTGAAGTATTTATGTGTAGAGAGGCAAGTAGCACTTACAAAAAAAAAAAAAAGAAAAGAAAACAATGGCTATTTTCCGTGATGAGCATCAAATAATCAAAGAAAGATTCAAGGAATGCATGAAAAAGTCAACGAGAAATGCTAAGAGTGGATCAATGAGAGAGGAGGAGAAATAAAAAACAGAACGAGATTTAATTTATCAAGTCCACAAAAGAATTGACATAACAGATAAAAAAAAAAAAAAACGAAGATTCTACACATACAAACGGGTGTAAGTTGATGGATGATAAAGATGTGCACCGTTTCATTGCACCAAAAAGACGTGGGGGTGGGGGTAGGAGGGGTTGAGGTAAGGCCTTGGAGAGACTAGAGACTAAGGCATTGTTGTGCAATACAATACAATATAGAGTATTTGCAAATTTAGGCACATTCTGCTTTCATATGGGCTAATTGGAGCAAAGCCTCAACATGAAAGGAGAAGAACGAAAGGAGAACTGAGAGAGTGAGTGAGTGAGTGTCAGGGGCCAACAGCAACGCCCTTGGGTGGGGAGGATATAATTGAGTAAGTTGATTAAATGTGTTCTTGATGAATTGGGACAATGGTTGATTTGTTTGGAGATAACTAAGAATTGATGGCAAAGGTTCCAAGAGGACAGAGGAAATTTTAATTTCCTAAAAGTATGTATGGGAGAGAGAGAAGAGAAAGGATGAGAGAAAGAGGAGCAGAGAGAGAGAGAGAGAAAGGAGAGGAGAAAGAGAAAAAGGAGAGGAGAGAGAGGAGAAAGAGAAAAGGAGAGGAGAGAGAGGAGAAAGAGAAAAAGGAGAGGAGAGAGAGGAGAAAGAGAAAAAGGAGAGGAGAGAGAGGAGAAAGAGAAAAAGGAGAGGAGAGAGAGGAGAAAGAGAGAAAAAGGAGAGGAGAGAGAGGAGAAAGAGAGAAAAAGGAGAGGAGAGAGAGGAAAAGAGAGAAAAAAGGAGAGGAGAGAGAGGAAAAGAGAGAAAAAGGAGAGGAGAGAAAGAGAAAAGGAGAGGAGAGAGAGAGAAAAAAGGAGAGAGGAGAGAGAAAAGGAGAGGAGAGGAGAGGAGAAAAGGAGAGAGAGAAGGAGAGAGAAAAAGGAGAGGAGAGAGAAAAAGGAGAGGAGAGAGAAAAAGGAGAGGAGAGAGAAAAAGGAGAGGAGAGGAGAGAGAGAGAAAAAAGAGAGGAGAGGAGAGAGAGAAAAAGAGAGGAGAGGAGAGAGAGAAAAAAGAGAGAAGAGGAGAGAGAGAGAAAAGGAGAGGAGAGGAGAGAGAGAGAAAAGGAGGAGAGGAGAGAGAGAGAAAAAGGAGAGGAGAGGAGAAAGAGAGAAAAAGGAGAGGAGAGGAGAAAGAGAGAAAAAGGAGAGGAGAGGAGAGAAGAGAGAGAGAAAAGAGAGGAGAGAAGAGAGAGAAAAGAGAGGAGAGAAGAGAGAGAGAAAAGAGAGGAGAGAGAGAAAAAGAAGCAGAGAAAAGGAGAAAGAAGAGAAGAGAGAGAGAGAGAGTGTGAAAAAAGGGGTGAGGCACTAGTTTTAGAGAAATGGTTGGCAACTTAAACCATGGTAAGTGACCTTCATTTGGTGCTCCTCCTACTGTAGCCCTGTGCCAGAATCAAACTAAACTTACTAAACTAATACACATGAAAAGAGCAATGAATATCAAGCTAATCTCACAAATTCAATCCTCACTGCATGCCCTACTACTTTGGCCTTGTGCTAGACTAAGCTAGGCTTAGTAAATAGCATTAAGGTGATTGTCAGAGCGATGGTTAACAAGTATAACAAACGCAATACTACCAAGTGTCTCACTGGTGTGATCCTCAGACTTAGTTAAAATGAATACAAATTTACAAGAAGCTAAATTTTTAGCTAATAGTAAGTCTTCCATTATCAAAGGTCTGAGCAAAAGCTTTGCAATCAATGCACCAGGAATTTTGAATTCTATAAATGTTCTAAAATCCAATTGGTCAACGAAATGCATTTCTGATGACATGTATTTCCTATCGACTCTCATTTTACAGCAACAGGTGAGGAGGGGGGTTACTCTCAGCTTGGTAGATAACCCTGACCAAGTTCCATCTTGTAAAACGAACTTGCTCCCCTCACATGAAACATCTGTGAAGTTTTAACTCCCCTCCTTCCTCAGTACTATCAGTTATGAGAGACAGTTTGGGAAATCTATAACTTTATAAGAGTTGTAAATTTCTGACGCCTATACCTGATGATGTGATGGGAGTTAATGCTGTGTACTGAAATATGGTGCTACTCAATTGCAGGCAGATTCAGGAGCTCCCAGACTATCAATGTGTGAAACTTACAGATGCATTTGGGCGTCGCTGACCTTTAAGTGTTAATGTATCAGAAGGTTGTATTTTTTTAACGGATATATTGAAAATAAGATTTAGAGTCCGAGAGACAAAGTAAACATGCATCCTTGTTGAGGCATTAAGGAGCCCACTTTATTTACTTTTCATGTTAAAGGCATGAACCATCTCTTCACCTCCTCTCTGGTTATGGATAAAACAAACAGCCTTGTATGGCAACCAGTCTAGGAGAACAATTCTGAATTCAAAAAGGTGGGACTTTAAGCATGGGCACATTGAGAAGACAAATTATTTTACTACTGAAATTGCAAAAGCATCACTCATAGCATGGACTGTTTTTTTGGTTGTGCGTTCCACAACTTGTCTGTAGGGTATAAATTATAAGTCATCTTTTATAAGAAGAAAATCAGTTTGGGACAGATATTAAGCATCACTGAACAAGCGATAGTAAGGCTGAATGAATTTGATAATGGGCTGAACATTCTAGAAGAGAGAAAGCCTGAATTTGACTATGAGCATCAATTAGCAATTAAGAGCTTTTGTGTGTGTATGTTTGTGCAAATAAATAAATTCTAGTTATCATCTATCTTTTATGGCTTGATTGCTTGATTCTCTCTCTCTCTTTTTTTTTTTTTTTAATGGCCTATTAATCTTTTGCAGGTTATTTAAAACCAGAAAGTATTTTTAGAGTCTAAGAATTTTTTTGAAGATAATAATGATTTATTGATACAAATCCTACTAATGAACTCATAACTGGGGGCGGGGAGAGAGAAGAGATGGCTGCATACCTTTCCCCAAGGGTATTTGTGCATAAGTGAATATAACAAACTTAACTGGAATTTGAACTCGGCTCTCTGATCTCGAACTTCGAGGTGTTATCCATTACACCAGCTGCTCATCCAAGTAAACAGCACCTGGAATTCCCAAACTGTCACCTATCTAGGTACTGACCAGGCTTGATGTTGCTTAACCGGTGATCTTATGAGAAAACCTGGTATTTCAACGTGATATGGCTGTGAGACAATCTTTTGCAGAAAAAGGCTTCTGTTAAACAACCTTTTGTCATGTGATGTTTTTTTTCTTTCTTTGAGTCCTGCAGTTTGAATAACAGCTATTTTTGACTAAAGAGCTTTGCAAACGTAATCTGAATAAAGACAGAACTGCTGACAGGAAAATAAAAGGATAGAGGAAAGGGGACAGGGGAAGGGTGGAAAAAAAAAAGAGGAAATAAGTCCATATATATATAATACCAGCTGTGACAAGTGTGTGAGAACAATGGAAGGGAAAAGAGGGGCAAGGGCGAGACCCACGGGGCGAAGAAATAAACTTCCCAGCAACCTGTCTCCCCCACCTCGGATGCCACAACAAAGAAATAGCCACCGATTGTAGTTAAAAGCAAGGCAAAGTCATTCTTGCACCCCCCCCCATGTGATCATCGTTTCTGATTAAAGCGTGTGGCTAGAAGAGAGAACGAGTGAAATTTCTATGAAGTACGCACTTTGTTAGAAACAAAGGAATGGATGCTAGCATTGTGTGAGGAAAGAGGAAGATTAAATAGAAAAACAAATAAACCTATTGCAGGAAGGGGTGAATATTTGCACGTGTTGCTGGTTGTATCTGACACTTTGGAGTTCGAATTAGCGAAAGGTGGAAAGAACGAGTAAGTGGTGATAAAAATGATGAGATGTTAGAATGAGGAGGAAAAGAAAAAAAAAAAAAAAAAAGGAAAGAAAGAAAAAAAAAAAGTGGGTTGGCTTTGAAGCCAGGTTGCAGCCTTATTCTTGTCAATCTCTGGTCCCAAACTCTACCACTGAGCTATGTCTACAAGTGCAAAATAGAGACATGGTTAATCAACAGCTAGAACCTATGTCAGCATCCATTTCCCCAAAACCTGGGATATCTTAATTGAAGAAGCTTACTAAAAAAGCTTTCTCCAATATCTAGGCAGTTACCTGGAGACTATCGCAAACAATTTTAAACAGACTACTATTTTTACTGAAACAGCCACAGAAAAGAATTTAGCAGTGAGAAAAGTGGTGTGGTTGAATGGGGCGGGCTATGACGTCGATCTATCTACAGCCAAGTTTGTAGTCAGCAATTTTGAATACGACAGGATAGGATTATTTTACGTGGATTTAACCTGACTCGTTATCAGTGCTGTCTAAGATAATTTATTTTCTATGAAAAATAATTTTTTTTTCTTCTCTGGTGAATAAATGACAAGAAAGTTTTTTCTATAACGGATTTTGTTTGCTTTTTCCACGAGAATGAAAAACTAGTTTCAGAAAATTGAATACAGACAAGAGCTAACAGAGAATTAAGACAATGGAATTTAATTATGATGTCTCCTAAAAGAAAGAAAAGAAAAAGTTATTTGCTGAGGTACCTACATCATTTTATGCATGCCTTGAAAATGGTGTAAAAAATAATTTGCATTGAAACAAGACAATAGTAGACAAAGTGAAAGAATCCCCTTTGCCAACTATGAAATATGAGACCTGCCTAAAATCAGCAGTTAAAAAAAATAATTTTACTTGCTTCATTTCTTTTATTTATATACACAACCTGAAATCAAACACTTTTTGTTCAATTGCATATTTAAAAAGCCCTTATTTTTGTATCTTGTCTAAGTGCCTTGACATTTTTCTTCAAATTAGTCAAAACCATCGCAAGTTTGATTTCAGAGAGAAAGATAGTCAATGGAATTTCTCTAATGTAGAAAGCAGATTGGGGGGGAAAAGATATATTTGAGGTGTAGAGGAACCTCTGCTGCCAACAGGCACAAACACCATTGCAATGGTCAAGTAATTTACTTCATTGAAGTGAAAAATATTTACTTTGTACACAGGCGTGTCCAGAATTGCCAAATTACTCATACCGGTCCATTCATTCACTCAGCCATCCAGTCTGTTAAATAAAGAACCCTAACAAAAACACACAACTCATTCTTGCAGCATGAATGTTCCTGAAGAAAGTGAATGAGAAAGGGGAGGGGGAATGTAAATTTGGATTTTCAACAGGGTCAGAAGAAAGGTGTTGGAGGGGGAGGAAGAGAAAAATTAATAAGAGGAAAGTTGAGTTAGCCAGCAGTAGGTAAATGATGTGTGTGTGTGTGTGTTTGTTTGTTGGGGAGGGGATAGGTATGTTGTTCATCACATCATGGAAGCATCATTGACCTAAATCTGATTCTGCTGTAGCCGAGAGAGAGAGAGAGAGAGAAATGAGAGAGAGAGAGCATGAAGCAGGCCAGCCCTCCTGTCTTGGTGGCCATCTTTGATCAAGAGGCCACCACACTCTGACTACTTAGTAGTAAAACTGTTGCTGCTGCTTCCACCAAAGGGACTTCTGAAAAAAAAAAAAAAAAAAAAAGAAATAAAATGAAGGTGATGAATTAGGTTATTGTCAATAAATCTACTGTATGTATATTTTAGGAATAATAAGAGAGAATTTGATAACTGCATATTAAAGAATCTATAAAAAGTCACCAACAAAAGGATTCCATGCCTCAATGCCAATTTATAGTTATAAATTTTCTTTTGGAGTTATTATAATTAACATCAACTGGAGGGAGGCACCGTAAAAATGGAATGTTGGTAGAGGCATCATAATAAAGAGAATACTAGAAGAAATGGGGAAAAAAGGGAACATAGATTGAAATTTTTAATTAAAATTTTATTCACAAATATTTTGTTTACGTTTTTATTGGATGACAAAGTCTTTTTTGTTTGTTATGTAAACTTTATGAAATAACATAGTCCCAGTTTTGTTCTATCTTCAGACAGTTTTCAGGCAACTTCAGAATTCCATTCTCCAAGACTTTTTATCTTTCTAAGCAAAAAAAAACTGCTATAGATCCCTTTTACAATCTTCCAAGAGTTAGAGATTTTTTTTTATTATAAGATGCAAAAACATAATATCCTCTGAATATACAGTAGATGAGCAAAGATCATTTAAGGTGAAATGCAACAATTATAACCTGGTTGCCAAATAAACATGGTGTCTACCATCAATTGCTTCTTTAACTAGAAACAATACTTGTTTGAATCGATCATTTTATTCTCCAGAAACATCTCTTAGTAGAGGATTCCATTTCAATTCTAATTTTATTACATACACTACAGGCAAAAATTTTGGGGGCCACACAGCATTTTTAAAAAAAAAAAAAACACCTTCAAATGAAATAGTTTTTTTTTTTTTTAAGATAAAATTTCAGTAACTACAGCCCTTATTTTGTAAAAAAAATAAGCACTTAACTATAAAATAGCATCATATTTTGTTTTTGTCAATAAAACCACCACCTGCTCTAATTATTGTTTTACAAATCTTTGGCATTCTTTCTAATAGTTCTTCAGAAAAAGTAAATGGCAGATGTTTCCAAGCATTCTTCAAGCAGTGAAAAAAGCCCACACTCATTCTTTGGTGATTCTCTTCAAACTCTCCACTCAAATTCATCCCATACTAATTTAATGGGATTGAGGTCAGGAGATTGAGGTGGCCAAGTCATAATTTCCAAAATTTTGTTCCTTTTTTGACTTGAGATAATTTTGATATAATTTGAAGAGTGTTTTTGCGATCGTTTTCTTGTTGAAAGGTGAATATTTTTCAATTATGTGTAAACCAGATGGTATAGCATGTCTTTGCAAATTTGAATGACAATATTCTTTTTTCATGATTCCCTTGACCTGACTCAAATCTCCAGCCATTTTGGTAATCTTAAATAGTCTACTGAGGGGTTAACAGTGAAAATATAATGTTTCACCTACAAAATATTCATAAATTAAATCCAAATTTGAACTTTTTCATAGTAAGAGGAGCCTGGAGGAAGACTGAAAAATAAAAGCAAATACACTATAGTTATTGAAATTTTATCTTATTTAAAAAAAGAAATGAAGAGTTGCCCCAAACTTTTTGGCCTCCAGAGTGTGTGTGTGTGTGTATATATATATATATATATATATATATATATATATATATATATACACACACACACACACACAAAATAGTGCACAGTGAGCCCTCGTGGTAATTTTATATCAAGCACTGTTTTATAACGAAGCTAAAATTTATACTAATAATAAATATTCCTCATGGTTTGGTGCTAATTAGGAACACACACATTTTATGTATGCATATAAGAATGAAATGGACTAAGTTCGACAATTATTACAATTATATTTATTGTTTATATGTTATTCTTATAGATACAAATATTTAAGTAAATGCTCTGTTTATAATAAACATTATTAACTACATTTACTGGCCTCGATGTCCAAGAAATTTCATAGGAAATGTGTCCACTGATAGGAATCAAACATGTATCCTACATGGAACCATTATATAGCCTGATGTGCTATATCATTTAGCTACATTTTTAAAGCAGTAATTTGACCTTCCTTGCCAGACCACTTGCTCTCTCTCTCTCTCTCTCTATATATATATATATATATAGGCATGTGGCCGAGTTGTTAGAACGCTCACTTTCTGACCATGAGACCCAGGTTCAAATCTCACCACGGTTGATTTGTCAGGAAGGAGACTTCCTGATGTCATCAGTCTGGAGGGGGACGTTCCCAGTGTGTGGCACCTTTAGTGAAACTGAAACTGGGTAGACAGAACAATTTGGGGGGGGGTTTACAACGACATCGATAGCTGTCCTATCAGATTGTTGATCACGCTAGTTAACATGCTCTCTCCCAGAAAATATAACTACGGTCTGCTCAGCATAGTTGCAGTATAAACCACAAGTTGGTTCTGTGGGTGGTGAACAAACACAAATGTGCCTGAGCAAGAGTCTGCAATAGGGATTGGCTAGCCGCCCTAGCAGACGGGAATCCTCAAATATGAGCCAGGTATTACTGTGTGTGTGTGTGTGTGTGTGAATATTATGATGGACTCTTGTGTCAATTTTGATGTATAAGGATCTAACAACATCATTCAGTTTCTATGTGAGTGATACGTTACATTTCAGTCCAGACCTGCATACAAATTCACATATTGTGCAACAGTGAGGATCTCAGAAAATAGCCATTGGAATATTTGTTGATACTTTTCACTGTTGTCTTTCATCTCTTAGCCAGTCAATACAACTGATTTCAAAATTTCTGATACAGCACTGGCACAAACATCTCCAGTTATTTCTATTCAGGGTAACTCGCTCGAAGTCAGTACGAGGCACATTGACATTTGAGAGGTTACTCTTGTCTTTATATCTGAGCCATGGCCATACAACAGTCCTTTGTCCACTACAAAAGGAAAAGTTAAGAACCCCGCCCCCACTTCACTTAAAATTATTTTATAAACTCATATAAATAGTACCTTCAAGAAGCTTCTACTTGTTGCGACTTAGTAATTAAAAAAAAAAAAAGAAAAAAGAGGGGGGGGAAGAAGGTAGGTAAACCAAATTTATCTTACCTTTCCTTTCTCTTAAAAAATAAGTCATGCCAAAAAGAGCTGCCAGTTTTTTTCTATTCCTACAGAAAACATCACCTTTTCCGTCTGCAAAAGAAGAGTATTTGATAATTGTGAATAAATGATAGAAAAAATAAATCACAATGCGAAAAAGATTAAATAAGACAACACTTGGAAGCTGTTTAGAATTTTGCTAAACAAAAAACAAAAAAAAAAATAAAACACACAAAGAAAAAAATTAAAAGTTAATGGTTTATGCCCACCATTTTTTTGTTAAAAAATAATTTCACCGCACCAGCCTTCTGCTAAAATGGTTTATGCCCACCATTTTTTTAAAAAAAAATAATTTCACCGCAAACAAGCCAATAATGCCACTAAGACACAAGAAGTTACAGAGACTAAAAGAGAATGAGAAAACTAAAGTGAGGAATAATAAAGAAGACAGAAGATGGTGATTGATGTTGCATTTTTGAAGATTGTAGGTGACAGGGAAGCACGAAATCAGAAAGGAGTTACACAGGCAAGAAAAGATACCATTTGAATAGAACATACAGTTGCATCAAGCTAGTTCAACAGTAAAATGGTGAAACCTCATTGCCAATCTAGTAGCACACTTAAATTCATGTAGCTGAGGCACTAGGGGGGGGAGCTCATTGGAATAGTTGCCATAAAAAAACAGAAGGAAGCCACATCATGTCAGTGGGGAAGTGACTGAAGCCGAGATGTTGAGGACCGATTACATTACAGACCCTTCTTTGAATTTTGTTAAAAATCTTGAGATATACAACAGGACTACAAAACCAGATATTGCAGCAGTAATGATTTAGGTTTCCCAAACTGGCTAGTTTATGCTTTGAAAATGGGTCAAAATAGTGAAATTTCCTTCAAGTTTAATTGGCAATATATTGAGTATTTTTTTGAAGTTATTTTGATAAAATTAGTATGCAAAGAAAATTTAATGTTTTCTCTTTATAAAGATACAATCCTTTCTCTTGTGTGATAATTAGTTTTTATTCCAGGTCTCTTTAAATGAGGTCATGTTTCAGTGATGGGTGCTGCCTTTTCTGCATTTTTAAATGAGAATTTTATGTTCATGTTTTAAAATTTGTTGTGTTCTGAGTTTTGTGTACCTATTCATATCAAAACAGCCCAGTCTTAAAGAAAAGAGGACACTCGTCAATTTAGTGGGATTAAAATAAAATTTTTCACAAAAAATTTCTAAGATGAAAACTCCAATGGAAATTCACTTCTTAAAAAAAAAAAATTACACCTTCTTATAGAGCAAGGTTTCATCTTTAATAATCAGTTGGTTCCATATCACTATATTCAACCAACGTAAAGCGTGAGCATATAGAAATGGAGGTGTTTTTGGAATTTGAATTTGCCAGCTGCCCTGACCGACTTGTTTCATTGATGGATATTTCAGTTTCTAGGTAAGTTTTAAATCTTTTTTTTATATTTATGTTTATTCAAAAGTTGTATAAAGTAAATTACTTATTGTGTAACAAAATAGACATTAAAAATAAACTACAAATTTATTTAATTAAATTTCACACCCTCATAATTGTCCATAGAAATAAAAAGGAAAATTTGTGTATGTAAAAAATGAAATAAAATTTTAAAATGTGTTTGATGTATATATTTATAATTTTTATAAATCTTGCATTTGCGTATGTCAAATATCGTAATTTTAAAAATGTCTATTTCTTTTATTTACTAATTATTAACTATTATTGTAGGTTCGCAAAAAATTACAAATTCTTAAGCTATTATTATACTAGCATTGGAAAATTTTTTTTACCTTTCTACCAAATTTATTTCTTACAAAATAATTAATTTTTGGTAATTAGTAAATATTACTTTTTAAAATTTGAAACTAGGTTTTTATTTTAATGGTAATTTTTATTTTTAAGCATATTTTTAAGTAAATTTCAACACCTAAATTCAACAGTAACAATTTAAGTGCAAATGTTGCTATTTGAAAAAAAGAACATTTAAAATTTTCAGTTCATTTATTTTTACGTGAATTTTCGATTGTTGTATTTTCTTCTTTATAAAGTGAAAGCCTAAACCTATAAAATTTAAGACATTTATTTTTTTATAAAAAATTAATCACTAACTGATCAGGTCTTCCTTGTACCAACTCTCAACATCATGATGACACACATGGCTGCTGGCAATATGAATGGGCAGTATCAGAACTAGCTGAGTGACAGTCTGTCCACTGACAAGAATCCCAAACATGCCTGTTAATATAGACCAGCAATTGGAAATCATCAATATCCAATTTGAACCTAAGTTTTTTTGTTTTATTTATTTATTTATTTACTGTATTTTCTTGTACCTGATACGAGAAACTTCTTGGTTAGGCAAGACAAGTTTTTGTGTACCTAGTTAATGTGAGTAAAAGTTGTTCCTTGCCTGTTCCCAGCTGCCTCTTTGGTTATGATCCAAGTTGAGATTCCCAAACTCCCCAGTTTGTTTTGGGCCCCTTTTTATCTCAACTGGGTCAGCTTTTTATTTCTCATGTTTGTATATTTTTCTCCTTTCCCACTCCCTTAGCGAGAGAGCCTCTTGATTTTGTCCAAGGGGCAGAATACAGCGGCTTCTCTTTTTGAGGGCCAGGCGGGCCCTACTAACATGACTGTCGAAGCTTACTTGACCCTGAGTGTTGCCTTACATTTGTCTTGGAAGATGCACACATATTTTTCACTGTATTTTTTTTTTTTTTTTTTAGGAAAAAGTGCATTTTGTAAGCCAGAAAGTATGGTAATAAAGGGAATACACAAGATCTGACAGGTTTTGCTAACATTAATGTTTCAAGAAAGCACCTTTCCCTCAAAATTTAAAAGTAAGTTTTGAAATGATAATTAAGAGAAGAAACATGCAGTGGCTAAACATCTTGTTCATTTCTATTCTTTAATACCTTGAAAAATAAGGGATAATTTAAAAAAAAAAAAAAAATTTACATAGAGATGGTTGTACTACGGGGCTATATTATACTCAAGGATGTAATTTATTTCCTGATTTTAGCTTCAGAAACATGGGGGTTGTACTATACACAATAAAATACGTCATTCTTTTGTTCCACTTTTAGTCAAGTGGGTGGTGTTTAGAAGACGCAAGTTCAAAGACTTTATCTGCTAACTATAAAATACAAAACACTTGAGATCGAGAACTATGTGGGTGTATCAATCGTAGTATCATAACAGGAGCAACCAAGACATCAAAGGACAAGAGAAAGGGGTCTGCATAAGTCACCTGGATCTGTTGACAGAGTAACCATGTTATGACAGGTGACAAAAATGGAATATATACCAAACATTTTGCCAAGACTTTAAATGTGTCAAGAGAGATCAAGAAAGCAGCGTGAAAAATAATTTTAGTAAGGATAACGTTAATTTTGGGAAAAGACAGGTTGGAATAACGGTTATCTGCATGGGAGATGGAATTGGTGAAGATGTTTCTCATGTTCTCTTTGCACAAATGTGTTTGAGGAAGGAATGAACCCATGTATCTCTGCACTCTGTCTCATCACCAGATCACTTAACCAACATGAAGACAAGATTTTCTTTTTTGTTCACAGACAAGAGAGTGAGTAATAGAACTTATGCAAATCATTCACTTGTAATAATGTAAAAAAAATGTAAACACTTGGTTTCAGCTCACCCACTTTTCTTTGTCGGTTTGGCTAATTTTCTGGCCAGTCATAGAAAGTAAAATATAAAAAGGTGTTGAAATATGAAGTGGAATACAAAGGACTGAGGAATTTTTGCAATAGTCCAGATGACCCCACATTAAACCAACCTTTTGGATTGTAGAAAAAATATTTATGTCAACACAGGAAAACCAATATTTGAAAACAATCATTTTCCTTATCAAAAACATCTAAATGTTAAATGTAAAATTTTTCTTATGCAATTGAAAAATAAACCCTGTATATTTTAAAATTAGGTGATTTTTTTCTTTTTTAGTTTTGAGGAGACTACATCTCCTACCAATTTTTTTTCATTGTCTGTTAAGCTAATAAACTGCCCATAAATATTTCAGAGTTTCTTTGAACAGTATAAAGATTTCAGCTCAAACTATAAATCAAAAAGAAAATAAAAGATGCCAAAAATATTAATTCCCAAAAGTTTTATTGTTACCACATTTGTGGGCAATTATAAGAGAATTTAATATTTCATTTAGCATCACCACTTATATTTTGTTGCATCGTACCTGATAAGTATTGAACATCTTCAAGCAGTAGCAGCTAAAAGCTGTTACTACTACTGTCAACCTCAACAAGGTCAAATTGGTATTGCTTTGAGAATTCCCACTCTTTGCAAGATATATTCTTTGCTGAGGATATGGAATTATTTGTCAGTTGTTTATTCCCCAAATTCCCAATTTGTATTATGTTTGGAGGTGAATGAGAAAATGCCACCGTTGGTCTTAGAGAAGTGATTTCTTAAAATCCCCATTTTAAGTTGACAGATTCATTTCAATTTACTTTTATTCTGCATCCCCCCAACACATTTGTTAGCAACTTTCGGTAAAAAGGAGAACAAGTGACCCATTCACTTGCAAATAAATCAAATGACATCATCATAAAAATTTTCACTAATGGGCTGTATCTGCTCTTTTACATTCTCCAAACTGAACTTGAAAGTTGCAACTTAAATTTAGTCAAGAAATACCAGTTTAAAATTCCATGATAAATCTTCTGACGGATTACATTCCTTAGTTCCACCAGTTCAAACCTTCACAGCTAAGACCCACCATGCCACATACACTAGGATGAAGCACCCCCATTCACTTCATATTCCATTAGCAAAAAGGAAGTCATATTTGGACAGCTTCTTCCCAAAAACTACTATCTTCCAGAACAGACTCCCAACAGATGATGCTTCCCAAATTAAAACAATCTTAATCTCTTCAACTCTTGGGGTAACTGTTCTCTTTCCTACATGTCCTATTAATCTGCACTTCATAACTTTTCCTCCTCGTGTTCATACAATAACTTTATTCAGCTACCCTCTACCTTGGATGGCTCTTAAGCCTTGTATTGGGTGGTCAAATTAAAAAAAAAACAAAACAAAAAAAAAACAACTCAGAATTTTAGACACGTACAGAATTTGGTTCAATTTGAATGCGAGTGTCAATTCATCAAAGCATTTAAAACAAATGAACTCTTCGTGTTGGCAATAAGACCGGACGTCTAGACAGAACTTACAGTTTAAGTAAATCTCAACCCTGACCATTCCCATATCTCTGACCCTCTTGTGCAAGACCCACTCAGGCCAGTTAACCTCATCTTGAGCCTCTTTGTCGTTGAATCATCAAAAGTAAATGCAACACTTGCTAAGCACTCATTCACTCTTCTTTTCATCTATTCACCTCAGACCAACAACAACGACAACTGGGCTGCTCACTTGCTTGAAAATAAACAAAAGACATTGCCATTTGCCTTTACCTAAGGAAAGTCACTCTACACTAGTTTACTGACAAAGAGAAATACAGACAACATGGCGTGTTTGCAGTGAAGAGGGATGAAAAGGTCAAGTAGAAGGAATTGGAAATATCATACAAGCTTAATTTTTTTTAAAAATTAACTCTTGTTTAAAAAGATAATTTTGACAAATTTTAAGAAATTAGATTTATAAAGACTTACTTAACTATTCAAAATTCCATGGGAGTTGACAACTATTATCCATTATCTCATACCTCTGCTCTTCTCTAACCATTTGCCTGTATCTTCTCACTCTCTCCCTTATCCCTTTTACTACAACTAAGATTATCTATTATCTCATATCTCTACTCCTTTTTAACCTTTTGCCTGTATCTTCTCTTTTAATGAATGTCTTCATGCTGTCCTATATTTTCTCTTGCATATCTCAGCCCATAGAACTCTCTTCTAGCTTCTTCCAACCAGTTTTCAAGATTTTAAATGCAATATCAATTGTCATCTACTTGAATCATGTTTTCTTTTTATTGCCATTCTTCTTCAGTAACATTTTCTCAGTGCCATTCACTCTCAATAACCGCTTTCATCCTAGTGGCTTTATCACGATACTTGTGGTTTAAAATGATAAAGAAAGAAAGAAAGAAAAAGAAAAACTCCCTTACTCAATGTCTCTTAATTTCCAGCCTACCAGTAAGCCTGTACTTGTCTCTCTATCCATTTACACATTCTCTACACATGTGAAAATATCCCCCACCCCGAGTTAATATCTCCCCCCCCCCAAGTTTCTATATACCTTCACCAGCCACTTCTTCATTTTGTCCCTTTTCACCAATTCTTTCCCTGCATAATAATATTCAGTAGTTTTGATGATCAAAAATATTTAGCTGAATATTCCAGATCTAAGGATTAACAGATACTGAACCCTGAGCCTTGGCAAAAGAGCTTAACAGTTATACATACAAATAAGCAGAGAAATAGCAGAGATACCAAATAGAATATATAGACAAATAAAATCAGGCATCAGAATGCATTTCATAGCAAAAAAAAAAAATTCATGAGGGGTGGGGGTGGATAGAGTCATACACATAAAAGATTATTGCCATAAAATGGCAATACAGAAATATTTCTGTATTAGCATTTTACAGTAATATGTTTTTTGTTACCCCACCTTTTTGTTATGAATTGTTTCCCCCCTATGAAATGACTCCTTTATTGTGCTCATAAAATTTTGTATCCCTGCAATATATATATATATATATATATATATATATATATATATATGTGTGTGTGTGTATTTAGTGGAAAGTGCTAAATATCCGTGATAGAGCTAACATATGTGGTTGCATGGAGGGTTGTTTGCGACCTTAAGTTTCACACTTCCACGACCTCCAGAGTTTGTCTGAAGATTGCAAAAGCATGAAATCTAAGGTCACGAGCAACTCTTCATGCAACTGCTTATATATAAATCTCATGCCTCTGCTCTTCTCTAACCATTTGCCTGTATCTTCTCTCTCACTTATCCCTTTCAATACAACTAAGATTATCTATTATCTCATATCTCTACTCCTTTTTAACCTTTTGCCTGTATCTTCTCTTTTAATGAATGTCTTCATATATATATATATATATATATATATATATATATATGCATACGATATAGGGGATAAACAAATCCCAATTGGTCAGAATTCATACATAGGTATGAATAAAAGGATCATATTTGTGTCAGCACAAATATTGTGATGATTCTTGTAATCATGCAGAAGGTATGACAGAATGCTAGTTGAGAAATCATTGCTCATGGCTGAGCCCATGAGAGAAAAGTTCTGATATCATAGAGGCCCCAAAATTTCTACAAACCCAGAATAGACACCACAGACGGAGCATTCTGGGGAGCATTATAGGTGTATAAAACAAATATAAACATATCCAGAATTTTTTTTACCCACTTGATAAAAATCTGATATTTTAGAAGCAATTTTATTTGATTTTGAAAATAATTTTTTTAATGAAGTTCACTTATATTTAAACAAAATCTTTTAACTGAGCCATAAACTACCATTTTCAATATAATTAAATTTGAAACACCTGAGGTTAATTGAAATGTTAAAGTGGTATTTTCAGTGAAAGCAAACTTTAAGAGGCAGAAAGACAAACATAAAAAAAAGAAAGACTATTCACCTTGTTCGTTTTCTTGTGAATCTAATTTTTCTCTGAAAAAGTATGAAAACAAAAGAATTGGTTAAAATCAGCTATGTAACAAACAAAAACATTTAACATTGACTTTTAAATATTTGTTCAACCAACTTGGCTTTAGAATTTTAAAAAGGAAAACCATAACCAAAGCAATGGGATGTCTAGAAGAAATGAGGAAAGAGAGATAGAAATGTCAGTGTGTGTAGACTGCCTATCTAGCCTTGGCTGGCAGTCAGTTTAAGAGAAAGGCATTTCTGAATTTACAACTATAGGAGAGACATTAAAATAAAGCGAAAACGTTTTTGATTGGTTAATTTATAGTAAAACATGGTTCATCATAATAAATGCTGATTAAGGAAAGATTAAAACTTTGAAAACCCAAGAAATTGGAATGTGTAAATTTATTTGGTTTTCTTGCAAAGAGCCTAATTTTGGGTGGGATACAATCTTGTTTCCCAGTACAAAAAAAAAAAAACTCTCTAAAAATGATCAAACTCTCTACTTTACGGCACACTGTATTAATGAAGAGGCACAACATTTTCAATTAAACTCCAAAATAACTGTGTATCCATCTATAAATTATAACAGCTGCTATATATTCTTACAAAGATAAGAAGTAATACTTACTTTATTTCTTCGGAAACCATTGACCCCTTTCCGCCCTGTGAACGGCTGTCCTAGACAAAAACAAAACTGAGTTAATTTGTGAATAATTAACAATGACAATTATTCTGAAAACCAACAAGTGATAACAGTAAAGAATGAAAAATGGCTGTCATTTTAACAATTGTGATTCAGCCGATTTGAAACAAAGGCAAATTAAGATGCAAATTCAAAAGCATGACATGTACATGGCTTGAAAAGTTTAGTTTAAGTAGATTTTTAACAGCATTAGAGTCCTATTATGTCAAAACTTTGGTTTATATTTAGGGAAAATAGACAAATATTTTTGCTTTTTATACTTTCAGATATGATCCCAGATTTTAGGAAAGCTAGGATTCTATTTATTTTAATATTTTCGAATAGTTCGTTTAGACAGTTTGCCTTGAAGAAATTGTGTCTTTTGGAGTCATTCAATTACAAAATGTTTTACCATATATTAGGTGTAGCATGTAGGGCACCATGGTGGTTCTTCTTGTTTCAGTAAGAATGAATAGTGTGACCTATTCATGATATAGTAACCTCTTCCTTCAGGATTTTCCATAATGGCAGGGGTGTTTTTTTTCCTCTGGGTTAGTAACATTGTATCTAGTTTATTTTGTTTTTCTGCTCCATTGTTCTTGCCATTGATTTTGCAGGTATTTCTTAATGGTTTTCAATCAGTCTATGGAATTTGCTCATTTTCAGGAACTAGTCTTAATGCCTGTTTAGTACTTTCGTCTGCTCTATCATTGCCCTTAATTCCTGCATAGCTAGGAATCCAGATGAACAGAATTCTTTTGAAAGTAGAGATAGCTAAAATATTGGAAAAAATCCATACTATCAAAGGGTTTTCCAGTTTTTGGTTTCGATAGATATTAATAATGATATGAAAACATTGCTTGAAAATCTTGTGAAAAATTTCTTTTCTTCACAGGCTTCAAACATTAGATAATAAAAAGAAGGAATGCTTATTTATATATTTGCATTTCCAAAAAAGACATATTTTTCCTGAATTCTTTAATGTGGACAATCTACTTTAATCAAAAAATCCAGAAGATAATTTCTTTTCAAAATTACAAACTTGGTTACACATATGATTGAAAAAAAATAAAATTGAGAACATATCTTCTGTGTGATTAACCTATAATTTGTACCTATACAATTAAATTTTGCTATTGCATGTCGGAAAAACATACTTATCAAATCTTGAAAAGTAAAATGCAATTTATTAGCAATGTGACTTCCCAATTTACTATTGGTGTGTAATAATGTCTCCTGTTAAGAACATGATATCGGTCTATGCTACCAGTAAATCTCTTAAGTAACATTGGGTTTTCTATCAAAGTGTTTAAAAAAATTAAATTAAACAAAGCCTGCAGTTTTTATTTAACAAAGTATAAAACAAGCGGATTTATATAAAACTAAATTATTTAAATAGCAATATTTGCCAAAGAATTGGATGCAAATTGGTGGAATAGAAAGGGATTATCAAGAACAGGCTACCTTCTGTGTGAAAAAGCATTCGAACAATATTAGAAGATTGATTAATTCTCCGTTCATATAAAGAACCAAATGCACAGAAATCTTTTACTGTACCAACAATTACAAAGAGATAAATATCTGAGGTAAAAAAAATAAATAAATAAAAAGAAGGAATTATAGATTAAAATGAGAGTTCATAGATAAACCATAAAGAATTTAATAAGCCCCTTGCCAAATGGATGGAGACTGAAGAATCTGAAGATTGGAAAGATGAAAATCAAACTTTTTCAAGAAAGTAACAGAAAGTTCTCAGCATAATCAAGAACAGATTACTAAAAAAAAAAAAAAAATTTTTTTGTTCAAATTTTGTGATATAGACCAGCACCTCCTTGTGGAAGAACTCTCGAATCACGAAGAGAAAAGAAAATTGGAGGGGATTTATAGAACTTCTATGTAAATGATTAAATATTCCAATACTGGAGGTGACACTTAAATTTTAATAGTTAAATAACTGCTGCATTGAAGTTCAAGTTACATATTAAGAGAATCACATTTGGTTTCTGAGAATTGTATGTTCTGTTGAAAAATTGGGCTTTTGAGGGACAATTTGATGAGCTACAAATTTACAAATTTGGTAGAAATAGTTAAATATTCCTCAACTGTAAGGAATCTTTATTTTCCTAAATTATTTCAGTTTGGAAATATTCTTAATTTCAATGAGCTTGTGAGCCCATGCAGAAAATAATTTTTTTTTTTTCATAAATTTAATGATGAAAAATTATGCTGAAGGGGACTATCCTAAGATGTGTCATTCAAGATGCCTTGAATTTTTAAGACAAAAAAAAACCCACTAAAAACCAAATAAATAAAAAGACCTTGTAGTGCCACACTGGATACATCTTTCCAAGTTTCTAACAGTTCTTTCAGTAACTAAAAAAAAAAAAATCTAACGGGTCCAATTTACCCACTTGAATCACTGTGCAAAGAAGGAAAATGTAGAAAAGCAGGGATGATAATTATGTGGTGCACAATTCATTTTGCACCATTTTCAGGGTTTTAGGAATGAAATTGCCATCATTCTGTGAAAAAAGAATCATTATCGCTTTGGACTACTGAACCAATGGCTGATGGAGAGTCTGCAAAACCAAACTTCTGAGTCACTATTTGACAAATTATTAGGTCTTTCCACTTTCTTCAGCTATTAAAAATTAATGGTATTTCACTAACAATAAATTTAAATGAATTAGTCTTTCAATGGCAACAAACAAATAAATTTAATGACAGGCTATGAAAACTTGTATGAGTGCACAAAATTACCCGAGATTTTACAAAAAAAAAAAAAAAAAAAAAAAAAAAAAAAGAAAAATCCCCTATGAAATTCATAACATAGTGAAATCCCCCTATGAAATTCATAACATAGTGAAATCACTCAAAAAAAACTTACAAGAGATGGACACAAAAATTTATGTCCAACATTTTATTTTTGCACTAAAGTTTTTGACAAGAATTCCCAGTACCATCCGCTTACATGGGAAACATTTTGGCAAACATAATTAGTTTGTTACATTAAGAGAGTCACTAGAAATGAGCCAACATTTTATTTATTTCCCAATGGGGATTACAAAACCACTCAAGTTTTTTTTAAAGTTAACATAATTTGACACTGCCAAGTAGCAAGGGTAACATTTCTTCACATTTTAAAAGCACTCATCCAGGAATGAGAACAAATCAAGAAAAGAACAAGCACTCAACAAATATGAAATGATATCACGAGAGATTACTCACCGGTTGATTTTTAGTATTTTTCCTTCGGTCCCTTTTATATTTTCTGTTTTTAAAAACTACAACCTCTGTTTAAAAAAAAGAAAAGAAAAAGAAGTTATAATCAAAGTGAAGTGGGGTGCATGCATAAATTTGGATTAAAATATTTTATAGACAGTAGCTTCTATTGAAGGGCTCCTTTAAGTCAATCAATTAAGGGTTTTCTTATATGAGCTGGTGCAATAAATATTTATATAATACAATTAAAAAACAAAATCATAGGATATGTCAATGAGCTGTAACTCATGTAATATACAAAGGAAGATGTCATTATGTTAAAAGTTGTTTTGATAAAGTTCAGTTGATGTGATGATTAAGGCTGGTCCCCGTTGGAAGGTAGATTACAACATGAAGACAGAGAGCAGAATTGTGAAGGATATGTTGAGGTAAGGATTAGAAGATTAATTAGAAAATTATCAATTTGACTTAAGGCTTTGTTTTGCAAGCACTTAACTATTCAAATGATTGCAGTTGTTTTTGTTTTTTTTTTAATATACAAGGCACAAGAGTCATTCAAAGTAGAGGGTTGGTGAATGATATGAATGCAAGAGTAGGCAGTAAGGATTATGTGGATATGGAGAATACATAATGATTGATCTTTGACTGGAATGGGTTAAGATTGTAGTTCTTGGGGAAGCAGATGCATGGGGGTCTGTCCAACAATGTAGTGGTTCTTGAGTGTTGTTGTAAAGAAAAGAAAAGAAAAAAAAAAAAAAACACTGTAAACTTATAGTAGCAATAAACACCTGCAATAGGTTTCTTTTGTCTCTCAACTGCAACACTTGTAGCCAAATCACAGTTCAAACAATAGTACGTTGTAACAGTCCAACAGGCAATGTAGAAATGATAAAATAGAGTCATAAATCCAACCTTCACTTCTCACCAACATAAAAACGCATGTTTGTCCACCAAGCTCAGAAAAGATCCTACCCTCGTAAGTGAAAAACAACAGCTTTTATTCATCGAGAGATTTTTCTGATTGGTCACGTGATTCAGGGAAGGAAAGAACATAGATTCTGATATTTAAAGTAGAAGATTTTTGCTAACTACTTTGGGTAATCTTTGACAGATCACACATAAAACGAACTCTTTTTCGAGGTAGGTGATTATCTCTTTCACTACATTGGGGAAAGAACTGAGTTGAACTTCTTTCTTGCAAAATGGATTGAGTGAGGATGTTTTGACTACATGATGTAAACATAGTGGGTGGGTCTTAGCTATAAACGACTGAACTGGTAGGACTAAAGGGTGGAGCTAGTCCAAACATTTGCCATGGATGTTGCGATACAGTAGTGACAGGCTTGCAATATTTGGGAAAGAGGTTGCAGAGTGGTACATAAGTCATCACCCACAAGGCCACATAAATGTCTCTGGACTCTATCAAGGCTGGAAAGTGAGGATTGGGCAGCCCGGATATGGTAGCAATACTTCATTTCTAGGCTAATCTGACTCTTGTAAAGGTAAAGAATGGCAGGAGTCAAGGACTTTATGGAGCATTATTACAAGAAAAATATTCTCCATTTTATCAAAAAAAAAAAAAATAATAAAAAAAAATAAAAAAATTTGTTCAATATATAAAGAAATTGAGAGAAACATTCAGAATTGCATACTTATCTTGAATATATAAACAGATGTAGATGATAGACACAGATTTTTTTTTCTTTACCTCCCACTTCTTTTGCTTCTCTCCCTTCATATTTTTTTCTTGCTAAAATATATTTAGCACTGTTGATAGGGAGTTTGAATGTACTCATATTATAACAGCTAATTTACTATTTATCAATATATTTAGTTTAAACTATTCCTAAATTTATTCCCCCAAAATTAAATTCCTTGAAGTACAGGTTGGATAGATCAATCGATACTACTAGTCTGTCAAACTAGAGTCTCCGAACTTTACTTAGTTTACACTGAATTTAATGTCTTTTTTACTTTTCTTTCTCTCCAAATTTTCCCCTTCTTTAATTTTACCTCTGATAACTCCCACTCTTTGGGAGTGGGAGTAATGAATTTTACACATCTTCCTAGTTCAGACACTCTATTCATGTATTTCCTATACGTTAGAAACAAAACAGAAATTTACTGACCTGCAAGTGTCATGAGACCATTCTTCCGGAACCGGAACAATTCTCGAATTCTGTTCTTTAATTCTCTTTCTCCTGAAAAGAGATAAAGAAAAAAGAAAAAAAAGATAATACAAAACTTGAAGAGCAAAGCAAAATAGATGATTGTTTTAGAAGGCATGCATTGAGGACTGTTTTGAAACAACTAATCATTCTCTCAGCTGAGCTTTCTTCAGACACAATCACAATCGTGGTTTCGAGGATTTACTTAAACTCTTTGTATATTAAAAGAATTTATTTAGTCATACGACTCTCTTAAAATTTTACTTAAAGATCTTTCCTTTTTTTTTTTTTTTTTTTAAAATCCTCTATTCAGGTAGGCGATCTATAACTTCCATAATTCACTAGCAAAATAAAGGGAGATAATAAGTTTAAAACTTTTTTTTTATTCTTTTCATTTCAGCTTTACATTTGATCATTTTTCTCTCAAGCTGAAATTCACAATATTTCTGAGAACTACAAGTTGGCCAATATCTGTATTCTTGAATGTATGCAGAGGCAAAGATCTGTTACTAAGTGTGATCATGATTATGGTTGATTCTTAAGTTCAACACAATATTTTGCTACTTGTTTGTTTTTCTCTTGTTTAATGTCAATCTTTTTAAAAAAAACACTACAGTTGTTGATATTATTATATATTTATTGTTAGGGTGAATTTAATACTTAGCTAATCTCCAACAGTTCTTTCAATGTTTATTTCATTAATAAACATCTTCATTAAAAATAAAAAAATTAAATTGTGTGAATTCCAAATAAACAGCAAAAACCTGTTGAGTTTTTTCTTTTTTTTATAAATAAAACTGAAACTGTCAAATATTTTCTTCCCAGAAAACTATTTGAAGTTTGTGGCTAAAGTTATTTGCTTTGGAACTGAACCAATAAAAGAGTAACACTTACAAAATAGTAACATTTCTGGCACCTTAAACATTTATATCTGCAATAAGTAAGTGTAGTCAGAATGGGAGGAAGATGTCTTAATAGGGAAAAAATTAGAGGTTTGGTACATTCATTCTTTTTGGATGCCATTGAAATCTTCAATTTTTAAAAAAAAATTTTTTTTCATGTTAATGTTTAAAAAAATGTCTTTGAAAAAAGAAAAGAAAGAACTGTTTTTATAAGCAAGCAGTAAATACATATAAAGACTTCAAAAAGTCAATTTTTGTGAGAAAAGCTTTTAGGCAGTGAACCATTAAATCTGCTGACTTACGTGCTAAATTTTCATAATACTGTACATGTTCCTGGAATGTGTTAAACTGTGCAAACACTCGTAATTTTTCTTGGAACTCTCTACAAAAGAAGAAAATTAAAGACCAGTTAATAAAACGCAAAGGAAAATATTGAAATTTTACAATGCAAAAAATATGTACAATATTTAAAAAGCTGTTTAAATCTACATTTTAGAAATACAATGTGCTGTATTATTTTATAAAACAAAGAACAGATAAGCAGAGGATGTGTTAGACTTGCTTACCAATGTGTGAAACTTAGTTGGTATGGGCTGAAAAGAACTAGCAATAAATGGGCAGTACTTAGAAAAAACAAAAAAGACATGCCGAGACACAGAGAGTGGAATAAAAACAATCTACTCTTTCAGATTAAATAAAGGGTTCAGTTTGAAACTTACTGATGGTTACTCAGGTTGACATAAAGTTGGTGGGCAAAACAGCCACCATATTGTGATAACAACAAAAATGAAGGTATTACTCTAACAGTAAATATTGGAAATTAAAATCTAAAATTAAGTTGAAAGTGAATAATGGTTGACAATGCTGCCTTTAATAATAAAATAAAGATGATATTGCTTGTAATGGCCATAGAATGATAGTCTAAGATTGAAGGGGGGCATTGATTGGTTGAGTCTAACAGCACACTTGCAGATCATTCAGAGCCAAATTGATTGTGTTGTAAACACATTTTATACTTGGTCAAGTATGGATGAGAGTAAGTTTTATAGTTTGTTAGGTATGGTTGAAAAAAAATTTCCTCCAAGTGTGATAGAGAAGTTTTATTGTTCATCAGGTATGTTTTAAAACAAGTTTTATTGTTTGTAAAGAATGATTGAAAGTCAGTTTTTTGTTTGTGTAAACTTATAAACATTTTTTTTAAATATTTTATTGTAAAGTCCAATCTTTTTGACAAATTGCAGTATGTCATCTGGTTTGATGTTTTCAAAAAGTTCTTTAAGATTGTTTGTTCTGCAATACTTGTTTCAGCTTTCCCAGAAGCAGCAACATTCAAACAGTATGCGCCTAATCGTATTCGACTCCTGACATGGTACACATATTGGTGGGATTTCATTTCTCAATAAATGCCTGTGAGTAACATCTGTATGTCACAATATGAAATCTAGTGAGAATCACCTCTCCTCTTATGTTTTGTTAGCCAGTGAAATATTCACTCATGATTGGCTAAATATTAGTAGTTTATATGTAATATAATTACAGTTATTCCATAGGCGTTGCCATTTTCCTTTAATAATCTTATTAATGGTTAGTCAGAAATCATTGTATGAGATTTGATAATTCCATATTTAGTAACATCTTTGGGGGTGGAGGAAAAAGGAAAAAGAACTGGAGAAAAAGAAATAATAGTTGGCAATGCTTCATCTAATAAAAAATTATGATAATATTTCTAAAGAAAAAAAAAACAAAAAACAAAAAAAAACCCACAATAACCAAAACAAGACAAAACAAAAGTCAAAAAATTGTAGTTAGCACAAAAGCTATAGTGAAAGTATAAAACCAATGTACCTGTCAATTTTTGTCGTTTTTCGTTTGGAATTGGGAGATTTGAATTTGTTACCACCACTGTAATGAAATAAGCCATAGTCGTGAGCCACTCTTTTTCTCTGCTCTCGTTCCTGCAACCTCAATCTGTAGTTATCCACCTGAGTGAGTTTGAATGCTGTAAAGAGAGAGAGAAAAAAATAAAATCATTGATCTTGTCAATGAAAATCATCAGGTAACAATTTTCTGAATTTAACGGTTACTCCTAATCTGGAACTGCAATAATTTTATAGAGTATCTGATCACCACCCCGCCTGAGACTTTTAGTTGATGCATAGCAAAAATTGTATATAAAAAAGAAAAGCTTTTAATTATAACTGCTATGTTTTCATTCCATAGAATGAAGATAACTCAATCTTGAAATATAATGTCAGTCAGTATAGCCTTATTGAATTATGTAATAAGGATATAGGACTCGTTTTCTTCTGACGATTTTAGGCATCAGTATATATGCTATTTGGACAAGTCCATGTCATATTCTGGAGAGGTGTATTCATCTCCACAACAACAAAGACAGCTTTCCAAAGCCTTATTCTTTCTAATACCCTTATCTGCTTTAGATATGCAATTTCTTTAGTCAATACTTTTTCTAACATGGGTTCACTTCCAACGTTTCAGTCCGATTATGTTTTTGCTTACCCTAGCGTTGTATTGTATTATTAGTTTTAAGAATAGGTAATTCAAAGGTATCATAAAGTATGTCCATCAGTGAATTAAATTGTATTGGTTGTTTATATTCTGCACATGTCTAGACCTCATGTCTTCTATGTTCATCATACTACGAAGCTGTTGAATAATTTGTCCTTCCTGTCAATTTTCCTTTCCAACTTTAAACCTTTTAAAGAAGACTTTATTTCCGATCTTAAATGATCTGGTAGTTTCAAATTGCCGACTTTTTATTCTCTGGCAGTAATTTGTCAAAAATGGAACTAACTTTCCATTTTACCTCAGATGATAAATTGACGTCAAATATTCGACTGCATAGTTTTTGCAGAAATTTTAAAACTCACTAGAAGTAACTTGAGTTCCATTATCGGATACCACACTGTCAGTTACTCCAAACCTTACAAAAAGTCTGCATAAGAATTTAATTGTTATTGTAGTAGTAGGCCATTTACACTTTAATATCTCAGGCTATTTTGTGAAACTGTTGCCCACAATTAAATAGTATGAACCATTTAGTAGTCCGGCAAAGTCCATATGTAGTCTTGCCCACGGTTTATCGGTCCTTGCCCATGCCTAATAACTTATAGGTGGTGATTTTGTTGCTGACTTACAACCATTACATTTTCTAACTGTATTTTGAATATTTTTGTCCAATAAATGTAGCTTCTCATCAGGGACTTCATCCTCACTATTCCCAGATGTCCTATGTGGAATTGTTGCAAAATCCTACTATTCTTTCCGAGTACAAAAGTACTCCATCACAAATAGAAAATGTATTATTGTTACCAGGTTTAATTTTAGTTTTATTCCATTTTGACCTAACATTATTCATAGTTTTTTTTTAAATAAACATATCCTTTTTAGAATGAATTTTGATATTGTCTATCATGATTGACAATTCTTTAAGTGTTACACACCAGGCTTTTAGTTTCTTTTTCAAATTCCAGCAAAGCAATCACAGTATCTTCAATATCTTTATATTTTGATATCAAATGGAGAAGCCATCTGTGTGTCCCAATGTTTTTGACAGTAGAAATTCCATCTTAAAATCATAGTCTGTTTGCAGTATGCATGGGATTCTCCTTCTTAGAACTGAATGTACTTAATAATGGACGATGATCAGTTTGCAATATGAATTTTCTTCCTAATATCATCCAGTGAAATTTCTTTACAGCAAAAATTATAGCAATCCCTTCCTTTTCAATTTGACTGTAGGGTTTTTCTGTATTTGTCAAGCTTCTTGAAGAGTGGGTAACTGCTTTCACTGTACCGTCTTCAAATTTATGGCCTATTACATAGGCCTCCTATGTTATATTTGCTCATGTCCAGCACTACTATTATCTGTCGGTGTGAGTCGTAATGTGTCAGCAATAACTCTAAAGTTAGTAGTTTTTTTAATTCCTTTAAAAGCTTTTTGGCATTCTGCTGACCAATTCCATTTTGTATCCTTCTTAAATAAATTATTCAGAGGTGTGCCAAATTTGTCATGGAAGGTATGTCTTTAATGGCACTTAATCTAGTGGGATCTTGTCTTCTTCCTATTTCATTGATTATCTGCCCTAAATATTTAATCTTATCCATAAAGAACTAACATTTCTGTTCACTGAATTTGAAACCATAATCATGGAGTCTCTGAAATAGTTGCTGAATCAGTTCTACGTGCTATATTTTCGCAACGCTCTTAATAAGTATATCATTTATGTAAGCGATGGCACCATCTAGTCTAGTCAAATTTATATTCATTACTTACAGGAAAATACCCGAGGTTACTTTTACACTGAAGGGAAATCTTCTAAACTTGTAGTCTTTTATGTGTATTAATAGTCAAATACTTTTGGCATTCCCAATCCACTTTGATGTGAAGATATGCCTCAGACAAGTCATTTTTTGAAAAAAAATTACCACCATTTAATTTGGCAAATATATCCTCAGCTTTTTTAGTTTTACCCACAAGAGTGATGTTATATGTAATTTTCCCAAGAAAAATTAATTTCTTACCCGATATTCCTCATGCAACTTAGTTGTTTTTTTTTTATTTGAGTTAGGCTTGCCAATTCTGTTCCAAGTTTGTTCATCAGTAATTGTAATATTGCAACTAGTGCCCAATTGAAATCTCACCATAGCATTATTCATTTTTACTGTCATGAATTTTCTATTATTTGAACTTTCCAGTTTTTTTTATAGCTGGTAGCACTACTTTCAGCAAGTTAATTTGTGTATTTCTTTTGCTTTTGGATGTGCAGTAGCTTCATTTGCGATCTGTTTTTCTACAATTAAAATATATTTTGGTTTTAAATTGGCAGTCCTTTCTGAAATGAATCATACCACATCCACAGCATGGGTTAAGTTTGGCAGTATTTTTCTTTTGGATTTTTTTTCTTTTAGTACTACTGTTTTTTTTTTTTAACTACTTATACTTCTGATGTGCCATTTTGTTCAATTTTCACTGTATTGTGCTTTAAATTAACAATTTTTTGGCACTCTTTCACAACAGTTTGCATCAATTAACTTTGAATCCTGTTCAAATTTTGTAAGGATTTGAGAGCATATTTCTTCATCGTTGCTTGATGCTAGACCTTTAATATTTTGGAGAGGTGTATTCATCTCCACAACAACAAAGACAGCTTTCCAAAGCTTTTTTCTTTCTAACACTTATCTGCTGGAAAAAAAAAATTCACTCATCGACAAATGTTAAAAGATTAGGTGAAATAAAAACATTAACATCTGGCGAGACTGACTGATCAGCCAAATATATGTCTGTTAACAACTGTATCTACAAAGAAGTTGTGAATACCATGATCAGAGTATATAAGCAACAAGGAAGTTTTAAGGAAAATGGAAACAAAAAGAACACTCATACTTTGAACTGAAAAGAGTTGAAACTTTTTAAGGACGCATAACAAAGAAAGACAGTTTGGAGAATTTGACACTCACAAGTCAAGCAAGAAGGACAGAGGGGAAACAATGAGGAACATACCCAACAAACTGTGTAAATGGATGGCAGAACAAAGAGTGGGAGGAATGGTCAAAAGATAAACATTACTAAGAGCTACAAAGAATAGGAAGTTGTAGAGAGCCATGATTGCCGACAACACATACAAGTTCAATACTTAGCAAATCATCAAAGATTCTTTAAATGCTTGTTTCATTGATTAGCAACTACATTTAAATGAACAGCAAAAACTGTCAGGCTTTTCTTGTAATAAAATTGAAACTATTAAATATTTTTTTAACATAAAAGTATTTGAAGTCTGTGAATAAAATTACTTCATCAACTTAAGCCCAAACAACATAGTAGCTTCCATGTTCATTGAAAATATTCTTTGTGATTTTATTTTATCAAAATATAATTGAATTTCAATACAAATATAACCAGGTATAGAGTTATGAATGCCTAGGAGTTTTGGAAGGTCTTTCTTAACTCTGGTAAAAAATTTGAATTTAGTCCTGATGATGACTGGACTTCAACATTACAGGCAGGAAGCCAAGTGGTATTTCTATAGAAACACACACCTCTACAAGAAATAATCATTTCTTTCAGAGTTTTGTTTCATATTACTATCAAATAAAGCACTCTAGATCATGAATAGAAACCTTTTGTCCAGATTTTTAGAAAATTTAATAGGGGCTGCAATTTGATATGTAAAATTCATTGTAAATTGAACTCACCCTTTTCAAGAACCCCTCCCCCCCCACCACCACCCCAATGCTAATAATACCATGTGAGAAAGCATATCCTTACTTACAAAATTTCAACTTAAAATAAAAAATTTAATATTTATATTATTTAAAGCCAATTCTTACTTTTTTCCCTGTGTTGTGTTAAAATAATGCTTACATACAAAAATTTCAATTAATTTTAAAACATCCTGAAATTTTTATGAAATTTCTTGGACATTCAGGCCGGTAAATGTTGTTAATACTGTTTATTATAAACAGAGTATTTATTTAAATTTTTTTTCTACATAAATAAATGATTGTTGGACTTAATCCATTTCATATTTTATATATATATATATATATATATATATATAGAGAGAGAGAGAGAGAGAAGCTGCTGTCTGCTATGTAAATTCATTGTAAATTGTCCACACTCTGCTGAAAGCCCAAAAAATAAATCCTCATAAAATGTGATAAAGCATACTCTTACTTTATATATGTGATGTGAAGTGTGTATGTGATATGAAGGGATTAATCAATAGTAATATAAAAAAAGATTATTTCTTGGATAGGGGCATTTCTGTAGAAATACCAGCTATGTGATATTTACAATGTAATATTTTAGCAATCTCACTACATTTCATTTCCATGGAAATGATCAAAAGACATTAATGAGAAAAAAAAGAACGTCTCTACCCTATAGCCTGAACATAATCCAACCAGAACAGATATGGTACAGAGAGGTTATCTTGTGTTGAGAGCTTACAAATTGAACTTAAATGCGATTCAATTTTAAGACTGGTAAAATGCAGCAGTAAATTCTGTGTACGAAGATTTAAGCAGGAAATAAAAGGACTTACCAATATCTATGTCTTCATCATCCAATTCCACAGAAAGTGAACTAATCAAAGATTCAGCATCGTTATCATACTCCTGTAGAAAAATAAATTAGTGCTAATTAAAATAAAAATATTCTTTTCATTCAAATTTCTAATCATTTACTTCATTTTTATCTTTAGCGCTAACTAAAAAGTCAAGCGCATTCACACAATGAATACACCAATGTAATGAAAAATAATCAACTAAAAACACTAAAGGATAATTAAAACAAAACCTTTTTTTAATTATTTTCATTCAAATTTTTAAAAGTTCTGTTATGGAGTTTGTTTTTTTTTACTTAATTTTTATATATTTCAAACCATTATGAAATTCAAATAATAAATATATATTTTTGTGCTTTTTGTGCTATGTTAAATTTCTTCTATCTGCATGTCCCCTCAAAGGAATGTGGCATGAGGCTGAGTTTAAAGTAGGAGTCCCATGCACATATGGGGATAGAGACAAAAATTGCTCCCCATCCCTCAAATCTCAGATGCATGCTTTTCTCTGTAGAAGAGATACAGCCTAGGTGGAGTAGCCCACTCAGACATAATGCAAATTTATAACCATTAAATTTTTGGACACTAAACCCAAGTATATTTTTTTTAAGTTCTGAAATGGTAAAAATCACTAAAATCATGCCTTTTTTCCTAGTAGCTTTCAGGAAACATTTCAAAATTATGCACTTTTAGTTAAGTTCACTCGTTAAATATTCGAAACAACTACCATACATTGTGATGTGTATTTGTGCAAATAGGTTGAATTGTGTCAATGACTGCATTCAATATGAAATAAGCACTAATCAAAGTTGAACTTTTAATGGGACAGGCAAAAATTTATTTCACCTTTATGACATTAGCATGCAAAACCAAAATTGAAGTCATGAAACAAGTTCTCCCTTCCAAAAATTCAAATGAATGTATAACAACTTCGAGACGTAACATTTATAAAGTGCAAAAATCCTGCCCTTTCTATTTTATCTAAAAGTTGTTTTTGTTTTTTATTGACAATTTATCAGTCACTTTTGTCAAGTTGAAAACATTTATGACATTTGAAAATGTAAAAAGAAACACTACATATACTGAATATTATGTAAATTTACTGCAGTATCTTACAATTTCTTTCTTTTTCTTTTTAATAAAAAATGTTTGAAAATAGTGATTCTGGAATCGTTAGAATTTATTCAAAAGTAAACTTCTCTAATCCATGGCAACTGTTCAGTTTTCAGGTGGCTGTCATTTTTAAGAATTTTAATAGTGTTGAAAGATATAGAAGTTTTAAAATCCTGATAGGAGTAACAAAAAAAGCTTTTCTTTTTAAAATTAAATAATAAACATAGTGAAATGAAAAAAATATACATTTCTTAAAGAGTATCATGATTTTACTGATAGTTCTTTAGAATGTATTATTTCCTTAGAGGACATGGTATATACAATATAAGCGGTACATATAGTCAGAATATACAAAAGAAAACAAAATGGTTAGAAGGTTAGTAGAAGTTGGGAAGCACGTGCAAGGCCACTTGGAAGAAAGAACAAGTAAGGTTCTTGGAACTGGATTCTAACAGTTTTCCAATAGCAACCCAAACATTCTCAAACTACAATAATGCATATACTGGAAAAACAAGTCTAAAATATAGGAGTTGGGGAGCTGCTTCAAATGTTTACAGATACATCTGGCTAAATGAAATTGCTCTCTCTCAATTGTCTGAAAGAACCTTTTTTGCCATCTATCAACATGGCCGATGTCAACCGCCAGGAGAGTGACTTATTGAGCCTTCTTGGGCTAACGTGTTCTGCCAAATAGAAAGATTTATTGAATCAATTGCTAGGTCTGCATCTAGGAAAGTTGGTTCACTGTGTTGTGCTAGATAATTTTTCTTTCCAGAATCTATCTTGTGCATTTATAAGTCTATCATTCATCTATGCAGTGAATATTGCTGCCACATCTGGTCTGGTGCTCCTATGTATTTAGAGATTCTTAATAAAATACAAAGAAGAATCTGCAATGTTATTGGTCTTGACCTAGCATCTTGGCTTCAGTCACTTTCCCACTACTGAAACATAGTTTCCCTGTGCTTTTTCTATAAATATTGTCATGGTAATTGTTCTGATGGGCTTTGCTCTTTGGTACCTAGACTTTAAGAATTTAAGTGCAGTACTAGTTCATTTTATGGTTGAAATGGCTAGATGAAACCCTAAGTTCTACATTAACAGGTTTTTCTCTTGCATCTTTTGCTTGTGGAACTCTCTTCCAGCTTTTTGCTTTCCAGTTAACTTTGTTCTTCAAAAATTTCAATTGTTATCTTGTCTCTTCTTAATTCCTGTTCTTTTTATTGTTATCTCTTTTTTCTCATATTCAGTTATCCCCCCCCTGCTTCTTAGTGGCTTTATTGCATTCATTGGGGAGAAATTAAAAATAAAATTACGTCTTATGATTGCCAACCACCATACAGACACATAAATAAATGGATAATTTGCATCAATAATCAAAAGGGAGAACAAATTAAAAGGCAATTAATTTAAAAGATATTGAATATAAAACATTTAAATATATTTATGATAAAGAATAAATGAAAGCATAAGAATATCATTCTGGAGATACAAAATTTAATTATTGCAGTAAAAACAGACCTATTAAAAGAGCAAGAAAGAAGAAGAAACTATGCAGATTTGAAGGCAGTGCAATGGTATACAATTTCAAAAGAAGAGACGAGCAATCTGACTTTGAATTCTATCTTTTCTCCCACCTCCCACTTTAAATAGTAAGGCTGAGTGGGATCTTCTGCCTTGACTGGCAACCAGTTTAGGAGAAGGAAAACTGAATTTGAAACTGGTTTGGAGATCTTGTGGTGCATTATGTGACTAGATCTCCATATTTGGTTCCTCAGAAAAGTGAGGTTGGCATGAGGCTTCACCATTATAATCAAATCCTACATGCAAGATAGCATGTTTGTTCAATTCTAGGAGCTGAACTATTTGACTCTTGTATATTGAAGATGTGCAGTGTGGTGCAATGGATAACAGGTTAGAATGAGAAATCTGAGAGCCGAGTTCAAATTCCAGTCAGATTCATTACATTCACTTATGCAAAACACTCTCGGAAAAGGTATGAATCGATCTCTTCTCATCCTCCAACTACGGGTTGAATAGCAGGACAGACCAGGTTCTATAGCCTTGGTTGGCAACCAATCTACCACAGAAAGAAGTGGCAGCCTACTGCAGAAAAATCTTCTGCCTAGTCAGCCAGGGATCAAAAAAGACATGATAGTCCATGCATGTATTACATATAGCCCTGAATTGACTGACTGATATTGAAGATGATGAGAAGATGATATATATCATTAACTTTACTAATATACTTTTTGTATGAATGATTCATTGTAATATAAATTGAACTGCACCACATATTTGATTTAAAAGAACTGATCCGATGTGCAAATTTTCAGGATAATAGCTGAGACATTACTCTATTGCACAATTTAGTTCATGCCACATTGACTGATAAACTCCTACAACAAAAAAATTCTCAAATTGCCATATTAGTAAAAAAAAAAAAAAAAAAACGCACTCTCTTAAATTTTCAACTGACTGCACGCTCAAAAAGTTTGTATCTGTTAACAATAACACATTAAAAAAAAACATATTTTGATTCATATTTAATTTTTTCATTATGGATGCTACCTGAATTTTACCAAAAACAAAATAATTTCCAAGCCTGAAGGTGACTGAATGTACAGTTCAAAGTACTTGCATATTAAAGAAAGACCTTATACAGCTTATAATTTTTAAAAACAAGGATCATAACATTCATTGAGTGATTTGTAGGTTAATGCACCTTTAAAATTTTGTTTGCGAAGGGATTTCGCAATTTTATATCATTAACTTTACTAATCTACTTTTTTGTATCAATGATTCATTGTTATATATATATATATATATATATATATATATATATATATATATATATATATATGGTAAAATATAGTTATACGCATACACATACATACATAAATACACACACACACACACAATATAAACAATTACTTAATTAGATTGTAATTCAATTAAATAGATTATTGTTGATTTTACTGACTACAGTTCACAATATCCTGAGACAGAGCCACATATTGTGTAATGTTATGTTTTCTTTACATCTTAATATAACATGACAAGCATATGCACGACTAAATATTTCACAGTGATTGGGCACGTAAAATAATCTGTTTGTGGTTTGATACAACCGACTATAATGTGCTTAAAATTGCTAAGTGTCTGACAAACACTTCTATCAAAACACAGACTAATTATTTCACATAATTTATCACATTTTAATAAGATCTAAAAAATGTAACATTATGCTAATATTTTTCTTACTATAGACGTTACTTTTAGTCAATGTACATATTCAAGTTGCTATCAGTTTTTAATTCCATAATTATATTTTCTTAAATTATATAACATTTATAGTAATAAAAAATAATGTCAGATAAAAAAAATCCATTATATATATATAATAGTTTTTTTCTCTTTTTTTTTTGGTCCCCTTTTGAAAGTTTGTTTTACGGCAATAATGAAAACATGAAAAGGAAAAAAAATGTCTACACAAAGTCACCAAATTTAAATCAAAGCAGATATTTTACGGTGTTTTTTGATCAGCTCGGAATTTAGGACCCAGATAAAGTTTTTTTTTGAATATGCTTGATTCAAGAAAGGTAAATAGCAAAAAAAAAAAAAAAAAAAAAAAAAAAAAAAAAAAAGGGGGAGGAGGTGTGCATGTGCAGGGGGGGATTGAATGCCAGTTGAAAAAGAAAAAAAAAAGTAAAATTGTTTTTATCATCTGTCTCTTTATGAACTTAATTCCTTTCTGTATAAAAAGAAAGGAACAATTACTTATTTAGAGAATAATGTGTAAGTATATATGTATATACACTCACAACTGTTCCCAAATACTGAATAATATAACAAATGTGAAATAAATAAATAAACCCAGCCCAACTAGAGGTGCATAGTACAATAGTCTTGCATGAATTTTCACCAGTGTACTGAGTTAAAGCCTCATAGAATACCCAACAACTGTGGCTTTAAGTTTTGTAAACATTGTTAGCCTATTAGAATTTAACTTTCAATTAGTGATCAGAAAAATCTACTGGTGTTTAGAAAAATAATCAAAATGAGAAAAAGTAAAGTTGAGTGATTGTTTTTTGGGGTTTTTAAAATTTAAATTTCCAAATAATAACTACCTAATTCGTCATCTATTAAAACAGAAGTTTATTGGCTGAAATGCCTTAAGTATTCATAGTATGTAACAAACATTTTGGTTCAGTGCCAGCTTCACTACTATCGGATACTTCATAGGATGAGAAATAAAGTGGAATTATACAATACAAAAAGTAAAATAAAACAAACAAAAGCAAATCATAAATAAAAATCATGACAGGAAAAAAAAAAAAAACTTCCCACCCCATGCTCCCAAAGGGGAAAGATGCAACAAGCACAAAAGATTTTGAAATAACTTTCAAAAAATGAAAATAAATGAAATAAAAAAAATTTAAAAAAAAAAAAAAAAAAAAAAGCAGAAAGAAGTGGGGCTAATATTATCAGTTATTGTAGAGAAATTTACCAAGAATACAGAGCCCAGTAACATTAAAATCGTAAACTACAACACCAGCATTCAGATTTTTCTTTAACCAAGTTGCCAAGTGCATAAATAAGTGTATAAGTCACCTGATGATATGCAAAGAAAAATTCTAGAACTGCAGCCAATTTTCCCAAATCCATTTTCAGGCCATGCTAATGCAAAAAATGTATTTGTCAGGATATAATGTTGTACATGCCAATTGTTTCAATATTGGCTACATCATTGCTAAAAAAAATAGTTCTATTTTTTTTTTTTTATGATGTGCACTATTAAGACTATTTGATTACAATGCAAATTGCAGAAATTAACAAACATCACTTGTTAGGCAGTGGGAAGTCAACTTCCCCAAATAGGTTGCTCAATTTTTATTTTATTTAAAGCAATTACTAAGCATTAGTGAAAGATTGCAAATTAATATAGAAAAGTTTTGTAATACAGGGAAGCACTGGGGGGGGGTTGAAAATTTCTCATCAGGACCCACTTCCCAAAATCCCAAATTCAAATGGCCTATAAATCAGATTTTTTTTTTTTTTTTATATCCTTTTTTTGGTCAGGCTTTCCAGCATCTTCTGGTATTTCTAGTTATTGGATTAAAAAAAAAGAAAAAGAAAAGAAAAAAATTGGGGAGATTTTCGCAAATCTAATATCAAATAATCTTTCAAAATTGTGAGCCAGATATAGCCTCTGGCAGTTCTCTAAGCAAGTGACACAGGCTAAAGAACTATCGAATAAAATTTTTACCCCTGCCTTCTGGGATCGATTAACCAACCAACCAACCACAAACAACTTAAACTACAATAGCCATGCAGTTGTGAGAATAACCACAGAAATGTTTCAAAAGATACAATAAGCATGCCTTACAAGTAGAGCAGCCTTAAACTAATTGGTACAATTGTACAAGTGCTACAGACTCTTACAATGACAACATAAAAATTGACAACAACCAGTTGACCAAAGATTATCAATCAGGTGATAGCAGTTGTGATAGCAGTAATGGATTGAATACATCACTGAGAGGTTCAGAAACTTACAAGCTCACTCCTAGTCACATCATTTAGCAAGAATGAGGATCTCTTCCAAGCCCTTTTTTTGTTTGTTTTTTTCTTCCGCCTGCATCTAGATGTTTTTCCCTGAGAAAATTGCCAAAATAATAATTAAAATGCAATTCACAAACTCTTTTTTTTTTTTTTTTGTTACCTACTCCTAACGAGCTACAAGTTATTAACATGAACCAATGCATTTATTATGCACTAATTACATTAAAATTAAAAACTTACTTCCATTTCGTCATTAAATGTTTATAGTTACATGGCAAATAAGCCATATTACCTTAAGATTAATGACTTTACATTAAGCAGAGTTTTTTTATTTTTGAGTTTTAACTAAAATCATCTAACTTTAGGATCTGTAAAAAATGGGTTACGGCTTTTTCTCACAAATTTGTTTAAAAATGTTTATGATGCTTACTATAGAGGAATTTATATAAGATGACGTAAAACAAGAATTATACCTTGAAGTTTCTTTCAGGATAATGTTTATAAAATCATATTCAAGATATTTTAAAATCTAAGAGAATTTTAATTTTAAGAAATATCAAGTAAGCTTTTATTATGAAACTAATTTTTAATATCTAAATAAAAAAAAAAAATAAAAAAAATGTTCAAACAAGTTTGTATACAATAGAAAATTACAAACAAAACAAATGGCAGTCACATAACAAAATGACTTTAAATTATTCTTAAATATAAGAATACAAAGATCATACACCCAAACCAATTCCTTATAAGAAATGTGAAGATTACTTCAAGAAAAAGAGTAAATTCCCAACAAATCAGACTTAGACTGCTCAGTGTTCAAAGATAAACTGAAAAATGTTTCCTTGGAACCAAACGACACCTTACAACCAAGTCCAAAAAGGACATCTTCTGACTTGCTTCTTAGTAGATATTGAAGACAAAAAAGAGTTGTTAATAGTAAAAGAAATAAAAAAAAAATAAATAAATCACAGGAAAAGAGTAGGTGAGCTAAAGGCACTAAAAAAACAGATTATGAGAAGTGCTCCAATGAAAAAAAAACCAAAAAAACCAAAAAAAACAAAAAAAAAAAAAAAAAAAAAAAAAACCAAAAAAACCCTGGATAATGAATGAAGCTTTACAGTCTTCATCTCATACAAGTTTTTCAATCTGATTGGAATTGTGACAGTAACAATGTTGTACACTCATCTAATCCATTTTGTGACAAAGATTACCAGTGGAAAAAAAAAATTAGCTACAGAAACTATTGCTCTAAAATAAACTCTTTACAAAACTGCTGTCACCGCCTGCCACTTCTGTTGGGTTGAGGGCCTGGGTGCAGAAAGGATTGGCAGCTGAATGACACCAGAGGTGCTTAGTTTGAAGAGTCTAGTCAGTCGTGAGAGTGATATATAGTGGAACACAGCTTTTATATATATATATATATATATATATATATCTCAAATGAATGCAAAAACAGAAACAAGTAATCCATTATAAGCTTGCTCACATATACAATATTTTCTTTTATATTCGGACTTGCTTCTTTCATGAAGAGAATTGCTCTGCTTTTTTCTTTTTTATTCTTTTCTTTTTAATGATTCATTGTTTTTCTACTGCTTATCAACTTTTTGCAGGTTATTTAAAGCCAGAAAATAATTTTAGATGGTAAGAATCTTTTTTTTTTTTGAAGATAATAATGATTTAGTGAAACAAGTCTTACTAATTAACCCATAGCTGGAGGAGAAGTGGATTTATACCATTCTCATGAATATTTTTTGTGTGTGAGTGAATATAACAAACCCAACTGGAATTGGAACTCAGCTCAATTAATAATTCAGAGCCATTATCTTTTACACCACCTGCACATCCAAGCTTACAGCACCTGGTATTCCCAAGTGTTCAACCATCTAGGTACTGACTAGGCTTGATGTTGCTTAACTTTGGTGAACATATAGAAACTGGTGTTTCAATGTGATCTAGCCATAAGTCCTGTTTTTTTTTAAACTTATAAAATATTCCATTTGTACCAATGCTACATAAAACAAATGGAAAAATTACATGTAACATGTTTTGACCCTCAAAAGGAGTTCATTAGATAGAAAATTTTCCCATTTCGTCATTCAGTTACTCACCAAGAATCATCTTATTCACAGTTCTTTGCTAGTATGCCCTGTACACAACCAAAATCATGACTGTTTAATTTGAAAGCTTTTCTGAAAAGTTTAATTTTTCTTAAAACTTTTTTTTATTAACATTGATTAAATGTGTGTCTTGGGTAAAGTAGATCTGGCAGAGTCCATTCCTGATCAGGCCAGACCAGACCAGACCACATTGGATGTCTTCCAACTTGAAGGCTCCTCTTGGTCACAGATATATGGCTACTGATTCCATCAGGAGAACTTTCTGATGTAGCCACTGACATCAGCCTAGGAAGACTTCTACCCAGCAATGCTGTGTCATCATTGTCTTGGATACACTGCCACTAGTTCCTTCCGATGCACAAATTTAGCCCACAGCTGGTTGAAATTGACTGTAGTTACTCTCTCTTGGCTGAACTACTCACAAATACATGGAGTTGCCCACATCGTTCATTACCTATGGCACCAAACTAAAGAATACCTTTTGGCATATGGACATTGGTGTAAACTATAACAATTATTATAATAATTACCATATCATATTATTATTTTCTTAAATATAAAAATGATTACATTTCTCCATATTTGAAGCTGTGTCTGAAAAATTTGACCAATTGATATTAAAGAAAATATCAAGCAAATATTAGTAAGGACATTTCTCTATTCAATGAAAAAATACGACTAAATAACATTTATGAAGGACATTTCCCTATAAAATCCTTCTGTTTTTCTACTGACATCATTGCCTTACAATTATTTCGCAAATATGTAAGTTCTTCATGTGTACAGTTGAGCTGCTATAGTGGTAAATGTTTCAGTAAGGAAAATATAAAAAACCAATATTTTACAAGGATATGACTGTACAAGCATAAAAGGCAATTATTAAATAGCAGTTCCAGAGAGAGAGAAAAAATATTAAGAATTGAAGCAAGGTGAACTGTACTATAGTATTTTTTTCTGTTCTTGATTGAAAGCGATAAAAAGACTATCAAGTCACAAAAAAGCCCAAAGATGACCATTATAATAAAAGTCCATCCATTAAATTAATACATTCTACATGATCACAAAAGAGTTGGGCCTGTTCTGAGGGAAAGGAAAAGAGAAAAGAAAAGGGTGAGAGAGAGAGAGAGAAAAGAAAAGGGTGAGAGAGAGAGAGAAAAGAAAAGGGTGAGAGAGAGAGAGAGAGAGAAAAGAAAAGGGTGAGAGAGAGAGAGAGAGAAAAGAAAAGGGTGGGAGAGAGAGAGAAAAGAAAAGGGTGGGAGAGAGAGAGAAAAGAAAAGGGTGGGAGAGAGAGAGAGAAAAGAAAAGGTGAGAGAGAGAGAGAGAAAAAAGAAAAGGGTGAGAGAGAGAGAGAGAAAAGAAAAAGGGTGAGAGAGAGAGAGAAAAAGAAAAGGGTGGGAGAGAGAGAGAAAAAGAAAAAGGGTGGGAGAGAGAGAAAAGAAAAGGGTGGGAGAGAGAGAGAAAAGAAAAGGGTGAGAGAGAGAGAGAAAAGAAAAGGGTGAGAGAGAGAGAGAGAAAAGAAAAGGGTGAGAGAGAGAGAGAGAAAAGAAAAGGGTGAGAGAGAGAGAGAGAGAAAAGAAAAGGGTGAGAGAGAGAGGAAAAGGGGAGGGAGAAAGAAAGGAAAAGGGGAGGGAGAAGAAAGTGATCCTTGACTTTTAGGAAAGAAAGAAATACCCAGTTATTTTGTTCCCTCCCTCTCTGCTACTTGTCCCACCAACATCTGTATGGCTAATAAATGACAACCAGTCTTTCATATCCCTTTAGAAAAGAATTTCAATGTTGATGATTCTGGTCAACTCTTACAATTGTCATCCCAGTGCAGATCTCAAATTCAAAAGTCCATTAATCTGTTTTAACACATCTTCCTCTTTCTCATTCAAAAATTCCTCATCATCCCACATAGCAACAAGTACAATGAATTACTTTACTAGCAGTACATTTAGACTAATGTTTGCAGATTTATAGAAACATTTCTTTTTTTTTTTTTTTTTTCAAGCTAAGTGATTAAGATATTTCAAATCTTAAATTTAATAGTTGAAACTTTTAAAAATAAATAGATAAAAACAAAGTGAAATAAAATTATAATGAAAAGCATTGAATAACATGAAACCTGCATATTTGAACCAAATTTGCAATTTTAAGCAAATATTGGAAAACTTAAATTTAATGAGTTTAAACCATGCCATTAAAATTAAAACTTCCATTTATTTGAGAAATTCGGATTGGGAAAAACATCTATCAAAGTTTTGTTTTCTCAAAAACTGTCACCTGGCCATTCCATGATAAAAAAAAAAAAAAAAAAAAAAATGGTAATTATCAAAGTTAAGATTTAATAAACTGCATATTGAAGCACTAAACAATCTAACAAAGATTAAATATAAATCCATATTAGCAGAAGTGCGTCAGATTAATATTGTTTAAATTTACTTTTTTATTTACAGATGAGCTGGCTAGATGCAGCCGTAAGTTCTATGCTAATAGTTCCTTTTCTCACACTTCTCACTTGTGGAACTCCCTTCTGGCTTCAGGCTTTCCAGCCAACTTTGATCTTCAAAAATCTAAATGCAATGTCACTTGCTACCTACTGTCCTCCTGATTACTCTTTTCTCTTCCTGCTCATTATTAATGTTTCTGTTCCTAATTCTTCCACACCCAGTAACCCCTTGTGTCTTAGTGGTTTTACTGCCTTGCATGGGGTGATACCAATTAAAAAAAAAAAAAAAAAAAAAAAAAAATCAATATTTAAATTTTTGCTTTTACTATCATAAATAAAGATTCCAATATAGAAAACAGAATCAGTCAAGTAAATTCAGATCAAAATATATTATCAACATGTCCAGCTAAAGTATGGAAAAGAATGAATGTGTGTGTGTTATATATGACATGCCAAAAGTCACGAGATGATCTTAGTAGAACACTCTCTAGTGTACCAAAGTACAGCAACTAGACATGGCATTGATTCCACAATTTGTTGAAAGGCTCCTGGAGAGATGTTAAGTCATGCATATCTGTAGGTATAGGGTATTGTGTATCAACTTGAACTCTCCAACCTGATCCGTAAATCTTCAATTGGACTGATGGTTGGGTAAATATGGTGGCCCACATCGTTTGCTAAAATTCCCAGAATGCTCTTCAAACCAAATCTAGCCAACTGGTCACTGGAGACTTCTATGGTTCTGATCATAAAGCCCCCATGGTTGACCAGTGTGTAAAGCCTTCTATCAAGTATTCCTGATACACAGGTGATACTGTAGTCCGCGAGAGAGATGTTGAATGACCCTGCAATTTCAGAAATGGAATGTCCCACTCGTCTGGTAGCTAATATCATACGCTGCCCAAACTCCAATAATTCACATCGCATGAGCAGTAATCAATGTGAACACTGACTCACCAGATGTCAGAGCATTAATTGATATAGGTCTGATAATTTCCATGATGTCAAGCTAACGTGTCACCACCAACCAATACCTTTATATACAGCCATAACAAGAGTTTTGGCACATCAGTGTGTGTGTGTGTGTGTGCGCCTATGTATTTTAAGCTATTAAGGGATCTTTTTAATTTGACAATTTCTTACTATAAATTTTACATTTAATGGGAACATTTGTTTTAGATCGAGAAGCCCTAATAAGAATATGTGCCTCCCAACAAGAATTGAACCTGCATTCCCTTCTTTCCATCAGGGAAATCACTTTTAAGCTAAGTGTGCCTTATCAATTAGGCCATGAGTCCTGACAGAGGCACATTTTGTTTAATAGAACATCTCTATCTTTAGGGCAGTTGTCATTAATTTCACTGTTAAAAATAACATGGATGTCAACTCATATGTATGTGTGTGAGTGTGAGTGTGATATATATATATATATATATATATAAAAACAATGCGTATCGACTAAAAAAAATAATGTTTTAAGTAATAAAAATGTTGGATTAAAAATAAATCCCTTAATTCTTTAATTGCCTAATGCAACCAACAGGCCTGAGACTTGTGTTTAAACATGAAACAGACTATTGACGCTGGTTGTTGACTTCAATTCCTACTTTTAAATTTAGATATGCACTATCTTTGATAATGACCACTTTAACCTATAAATACAGCATACCTTAATACTCTCTCTCATATATATATATATATATATATATAGTAACTACAATAAAACTGCTCACATTAGAGAGAATTTTAATGCTAATATACTCTACACTTAAAAGTCTCAAATGAAAGGAACAATTTGCATGTCTTTATTAATCATATGCAAATATTATAAAGGAACAGAATTTCCCCAGTTGCAATGAAGCTCAATTAATAGGCAAAAATATTACAGAAACAATAAAAATAATAAATTTAAATTGGAGTTTTTAAGTCAGCAAGGCCATTTAGAAAATAAAATAAATAAAAGCCTTTAGATTGCTTTGAACAGTTTTGAAACAGCCATCTTCAGTGTAAACATGTCAAACCCCACATTAATTTTTTATACACTATATCTAAAAGTATGCATGTGTGAGTGTATGTATACATATACACAGGATTTTACAATGCCCAAAGTTCTCAGATATAAAGAGACTAGAGGGGAAAGAAGAAGAAAACAAAAAAGAAAAGGTGCCACATGAATAAAGATAGAATGTCCCAACCTGTAAGCAACTAGTTGTCAACCCAGATTTGTTTGCTTGGATTTGGTACATATTTCTATACTAAGCCCATCCTTCCACAAACTCACCACTATGTTACTAAAAGGTGAACTACCATGAGGTTAAGTTGGAATAAAGAGTAAATACTTACATAATCATCCCTGAAGAGTACATAACCGAGATCAGGTTGTTCAATATGGTTGTTTTCAACAGGTGTCGTCAAGCCCCAGTCTGCAGTACAATTAAACATAACAGAAGTCATTTATTTGATTTAGGTAAAAAAGAAAGAAAAAAAAAAAGATTTAAAATAAAAAAAAAAAAGATTTTAAATCTTTTTTCTTTTTATTTTAAATCTCTTTTTTTATTTTAAATCTTTTTTTTCTTATTTTAAATCTTTTATTTTAAAAGATTTAAAATAAAAAAAAAATTTAAAATAAGAAAAAAAAAGATTTAAAATAAGAAAAAAAAAAAATTTAAAATAAGAAAAAAAAAGATTTAAAATAAAAAGAAAAAAGATTTAAAATAAAAAGAAAAAAAAAAAAGATTTAAAATAAAAAGAAAAAAAAAAAAGATTTAAAATAAAAAAAGAAAAAAGATTTAAAATAAAAAAAAGATTTAAAATAAAAAAGATTTAAAATAAAAAAAAGATTTAAAATAAAAAGAAAAAAGATTTAAAATAAAAAGAAAAAAGATTTAAAATAAAAAGAAAAAAGATTTAAAATAAAAAGAAAAAAAAGATTTAAAATAAAAAGAAAAAAAAGATTTAAAATAAAAAGAAAAAAAAGATTTAAAATAAAAAGAAAAAAAGAAAAAAAAAAAGATTTAAAATAAAAATAATTTAAAATTAAAGAAAATTGCAGAAATTTTTAATCTAAAAAATCTTTTATTTTATTTTATTTTAAGCAACAGCATTATGATTTCTATTCTCTCAGCCCTGGAAGGTTTTGTTTTTAAGATTCATAACTAAAGTAAATGTAGAATACATATACTTCTAGATAGATATACATCTAGATACCTATGTTAAGAGAGAAGAACTAATTTCGGCTGCACATTGAAATGTAATAATAAAAATAATAAATAAAGATGCCATCAAAAGGATGATGATCAAGAAAACAATTACTTTGTGGATCAGAGATTACTCAGGTGATCACTATGGCAACCATCTGTCAGTGTTGTGCTGAACCAGACAGAGGTGAGATCAATATTTTCTCACTATTTCCCCCGCATCCCACCCACCCCTTTTCTGCAGAAAAAAAGGCAATATACACTGCATTCCTTTGTTCACACAGATACTTTGAAAGCCACCATTCCTTTAACCTTTCTTTAGAACTGATTCATACTGGCCAATCAGTAGTGAAATCGAGCAACTAATCACAAAAATAGCAAACAAGGGAAGCCAATAGTTGGATAAGTGAATAAAGTAACAAGTCCACATTGAATACTTACCATGTTCATCACTGTTAGTTGCATTGTTGAAAGGTTTTTGATGATTCAATAACAGAGATTCTGAAAGAGAGAACATCAAATAAGTCGGTTACAAAGTAAACAAAATTGGAAAACTGCATCATATGAAGGGGGGGGGAGGGGACTAAAACAGATACGTAAGAATGTCCACTTGTTTTGTTTTTACCAAATAAAATAAAAAAGAAAAAAAGAAAAGAAGAAAAGAAGAAATAGTTGTTTTATCAAAAGCAGATTCACGTTTTCTAGACTGAATTTCTTCACCATTTGCAGGCAAACTCAAAAAATTTAAATTCATATCAACACAACTATTCTGTTCTCAAATACAATACTGAGGTTGGATCAGGCTAACAATGTAAGGTAAAAGGCATTTTTACTTGGTTTTGGTCATTTCCACAGAAAATATCCGTATTATGTTTGGTCAAACTGAGAAGGGTTGAGACAGAAATAATTATCATTTTGTCTTTTTGATTTTATAGAAGCAACAGCAAAGCACAAACATAGCAGCCAGCAACAAAAAGAAGAACACTTCACATGAGAAAGAAAAACCAATTGAAGGTTTATCAGATTCATTATGGTTACTGTCAGTGCCATCTCCAGGTTCTGAAAGACAAAGTGAAGTAGCCGAATTGTTTAAATGGTAGTCTTCTTGGATATTCACATGCTTCCAAAAATAGAAAAGCAAACAGTTTTAGGTGGTTGGAGCACATTTCTTATCTCTTTCTTGAAGCAAGCAATTCTTGAGAAACATTCAGTGCATTGGACTTGTGACTTTGGATTTGAAATTAATTGGACTTGTGACTTCAGGTGTCTCCCAGGGTTGGACCTATGCTGTTTCTGATCTTTATCGACAGCCTTCCTTACACCATCAGTTTCCCACTAGGTATTTATACAAATGAAACAGCTATTAACTTAGTAGAAAGTTCAACATATTTAAGAGACTAAATTTGGTAACTGCTCTGGAAAAAGACCTCTAATCAGGGGTTAACTGGGCAAAAAACGGCTTGCAAATCTTAACGCCTCCAAAACAAAACTGCTTTCATTTAATCATAGAGAACCTTTTCTGTCTGCCATCAACATGGCTGATGCTAAACTCCAGGAGAGCAACTTTTTGCAGCTTTCTGGGCTCAAATTTTCCACCGACATCAAATGGATATAGCAATTCATTGAATATATCAATTGGTGGGTCTACTGCAAAGAAAATTGGTTCACCGTGTTGTGTCAGACAATTTTTCTTGTCAGAATTCATCTTGGACATTTATAAATCTACCATTCGTCCGTACACTGAATACTGCTGCCATATCTGGACTGGTGCTCCTACTATAGAAAAATTTATTTTGATAGAGCTTTCTGGGGAGTAAGTGTGAGTTTGTAAAAAGTGACTATTACTGCTAATAATGCAAGGCTCTTCGGTAAAACAAATAGAGTTCTCTCAGTCACCGTGTGTTGATCTAAAAATAAATACACTTAAATTCACCTTCATCCCTGCTGTGTGCCAACAGCTTCGGTGTAGAAACCCGATCCAACCAGACATCTAGCCACACTGATGAGCTGTGATAGTGAAACAGTCTGTGGATATATATATATATATATATATATACACACATATAAGAAAGAGAGAGATTCTTGACAAAATTTAAAGACGGCTTGTAATGTAATTGATCCTGATTTGGCATCTCAATTTCAGTCAATTTGCCAACGACATGACATGGCTTCCTTCTGTCTTTTCTACAAATATTTTCATGGCAGTGGTTCTGATGAGCTTTTTTTCTTAGTGCTCCAACTGCATGAATTCAAGCACACTACTAGGTCTCACTGTTTTACTGTTGAACTAACTTGATGCAACCATCTATTCTAACAGTTTATTTTCTCATAATTCTTGCCTGTGGTACTCCCTTTCAATTTCTTGATTCCCTGCCATGTACATTCTTCAAAAAGTTAAATACAACATCAATTGCCATCTTCTGTCTTCCTGAACCATGTTCTTTTATTGTCCTCTCTCTTCACTAAAGTTTTCTCACTGCCTTTCACTCCCTGTAACCCCATGAATCCTAGTGGCATTATCACTTTGCATCGGGTGAAAAAGTTAAGACTTCTAGTTTGAAATAAAAATATACTCTTGCTTTTATACTTGGTAATAAATCTTAAGTTGCCCAAATTTCTTAGATTAAGCATTGTCTATTATTAGCTTTGACTAACTTTTTTTTCATTTTGTTGTTTTTACCATGAGTTTCCAGTGAGATTTGTTCTTAAATGTAATCCTCAAGAAATTCTAAGGCATCTGCCTTACCAATTAGGCCACAAAGAACAACTGGCAACAAAAGCTAAGTCCAGTTGCTTAGTCATTATTTGCAACCCACACTGCTTACTATCAGAGAATGACAATCCATATACTATGATAAAAATCAATAGAAATAAATCAAAAGAAATACTTGTCAAAAATTAATAATCAACCTTCCTACAGTTGAAATTGTGTGTATAAATGATAAAAATTGTGATATTAATTCTGCATTTTAAATTTGTCCTCAAAGGAAACATTAAAGTTGTTGGCTTATCAAAATCCATTTATGCTAGAAAAAGTAATGTTATTCCAAGATATTAAGGCATAAAACATAATAGTAATGTCCGATAAGAACATGGGACTAAATTTTTCATATATAAAATGATTGCTTAATTCTCTCTGGACTGCATCAAATTAACATCAGCCAAATCAAAGGTATATTGTTTCAGGTCTTTCTTTGAACATTTGATCTTCTTGCAAGGATGTGAGGGATTATTTTTCTCACCTTGTAGGTGGTCGTTTATATAACTTCCTATAATCTTGTTTTCTTGTTGGTGCACAGTTGGGTTCACATCGACACCCTTTGAGGATCAATTCTGCACTTAAAGATGATGCGGTCACCCTTTAGGTCAACCTTTATGGCACCTAGGACTTTTGACTTTCTGTAATAACACAGAGTATAAAAATTTACTTTGCTATCTCTTAGGGTAAACCCAATATATATTGGAGTCACCACAGATCAACTGTTTTTAAATCACTGTTTCTTATGGAACATAGTTTTTGATTCAGATGTCTAAAAGGAAAAATTATAAATTCAAAACCATATGTAACCCTGGCAAAGTACATACTATATCGAAAGAATTGTGGAGTTCACAATGACACTTGGATCCTGACTAAAGATGATGTGATAGATAGGTTCGCATATCATCCAGTTCACACTCCTCCCCTGCCTTTTGAACAGGAGTATGTTTCTTGTTAAGAATAGAGTTTCCAGTTCCTTCTAAAGCTTTTTCCTTCTCTTTCACTTTAGGTGGCCCATTGCATCTTCCTGCTTGGGGTGGTGCCTCTTATGATGTAAGCCTCTACCTCGAGTGGCTCATGAGCCTTGTACAGAGTGAACATCATTGTTAAAAAAAAAAAAAAAAGTTAGCTTTTGCAAGTTAAAAAAAAAAAAAATCTTTTGTAATGTGTTGTTGATTTCAATCAAAATCAGTCTAATTTCTCAAGTGACGTTTTTATGGACTTTATTTACTACAGTCATGGAATAAATTAAAACACACGATGCACACATGCCAATCAGTGGATGTGAAATTAAGATTCTTTTTAATCATATATACATCCAACTCAAACGACAAAACCAATATTCAAAAGGTACTATACAAGATCAAATGGTATCAACAACAACAACAACAACAACCACTACCAACCCGGGCTTATAGCCATATCATGTTGAAACACTGGTTCTTGTATGATTACTGAAGTTAAGCAACATCAAGCCAGCTTGGGAATACCAGGTGTTGTAAGCTTGGAATTGGAGATCAGAGAGCCGAGTTACAATTCCAGTTGGGTTCATTATATTATACGTAAATGCCCTTGGGAAAGGGCGGAATCCACCTCTTTCCCACCAGCAGTGGGTTAATTAGTAGGACCTCTATCAGTAAGTCATTATTATCTCAAAAAAACTGTTACAGTCTAAAATTATTATCTGGCTTTAAATAACCTGCAAAGGGTTGATAAGCTGTAAAAAAACAAAATCAATCAATAAACCACCAACCTGAGTCATCACTGTTATTTGTTGCATTGTTTAATGTTTTTTTATGATTTGGCACAGAATCTGTAAGAGACGAAATAATATTGTTATTTAAACATTGTAAATAAACATTGAATAATATTAAGCACTTATCACTGCCCAACAAAGAAGTCTTTTCAACAAGCAAATTTTGAAAAAATACATAAGGCCAAGAACCTCCTTGTACAAAAATGTTTTCAGGTTTCTAATTAGAGTAGTTTTTTTCTTTCTTTTTGTGACTGTTTCAGATTAAGTCAACAGTCACAGATTCTCTTGACTAGACACAAAGTGACCAATTTTGTAGTGGACAATGTGAGAATCATTAACAAATGTCCAGTTTAATTTTCTATTTTTTTTTTTAAGTTTTTAACTGAATGAAATAATCAGAAGCCTAAAAATTTCAAAGTATTTTTTTTTTTTTTTAAATACTGTCTCTTATTTCAAATTCCTAAAGTATCTGACTGATAATAGTAAATCTCAAAATATGAAATTTTTTTGAGCCACATTTCAATAATGTCATGTTTAGATGAACAAAGATTTTCTTTTGTTATTTGTCTATCATTGTAGTTTTCTGTGAAGTAATTCATTCAAAAGGAATAACAATTTTCAATTGGCTCAAACAATGTAAAAAAACAACCAGAAAATCATCACATATACTTCTAAATTATGAAATTACAACAGTAGGACAATTTACTAACCACAAAGGAATTAATTTATGTGTGTGAGTGAGAGGGGTGGGGGGTCACAATATAAGTGCTGATAAAAAAAAAAAAAAACACAACAAATCCTTTGCTACAGTTTAGATTTAGAAAAACATTCAAAGCCATAAAAACAAAACTAATTTCAAATTCAAAATATATATTATTTTTTTTTTTCTTAAAATCATTTTAGAAGAGGGATAAGGCCCGAGTGCTTATGTCATTGAAACATTGCTTAGGTCATGGTTAACTGCATACTATTATGAACTGCGTGAAAAGGACATCAGTAATATGCAGTTACAACAACGTGGACAGTTTCAAAGTGACATTTGTAAATAAAAACAAAGTACAGATAACTTTTTAGAAAGTAAGCAATCGATTTGACAATTATATGAATAGGAACTCTTTCCTAAAATGAGGAAAAAAAAAAAAACAAAAGGTTTTACGTTATAAAGTTATGCAACACACTAATAATTTATTTTTTTTAGAATTAAATCTTAACGAGCTTCTCTTCATTTCTTTTAGTAAGAATCTGAATAATAAAAATGTTATTTACGTATTTGACAATCACAAATGAAAAGTCATTGTAATTTTTGAGACATCTACTTAAAATTGTTGTACATCATTAGATAAAAGAAATAAAGTGAAAATTGCAAGTGATGCTTGATCTACTTACCTTCATTTGTGAGGCCAAAGCTGTAATTATTACAGCATGGGACTGAAACTGTAAAAAGAAAAGAATGGAAGTTGTAAGAAGCCTAGGAGCAGCCATCAAATTAGAGGCAGATTGAGTTTTCAACCTAAACCTACTTATTACAACAATGTAACCTCAAAGTACAAATTGTTTCATTAAAAAAAAAAAAAAAGAAAAAAAAAAGCACAATAAAATGTAAATTTGGAATTACATATATTAAAAAGTGAAATTAACACATTCACTGCTTTAGTGTTGCCTGATTGTGCTGACCCATTTTGGGAAAAATAGCAAATTGTCCTTTTACTGAAAATAAATGACCATAAAGACACTAACAACAACCTTTTCTCATGGGCACAACCATTATGGTTTTGATTGGATACTCTGCAGTATAGAGAAACAGTCATGGTGCTCTTTACTAGTAAAGAACACCATGAACTAAGCTAAATAATACCCCCAAGACAATTGTAACAGTAAGTTCATTTTGTTTAGCGGCATATCAACATCTCTTTGGGGTTATTTAATATTGCATGTCTTCAACTACAGATAAAGTGTATTGTTGGTCATTTCTACTATAAATATGTACAGGAATCCCTTGATTAGTGCAGCTAATTTGTACATTGGAAACTATAAAAAAAAATGAATTTTCAATTACTATGGTTAAACTGAAGAATGTTTTACCACACTAATTGAGTATTATGCATGCACTAATCAAATTTTGGTATGAGCACATGGCCGAATGGTTAGAACATTTGCATTCTGACCATGAAACCCAGGTTTGAATCTGACCAGGGTTGATTTGTCAAGGAGACTTCCTGATGTTATCGTACTGGAGGGGTCAATCCCAGCATGCAACACCCTTAGAAAGTGCCTGAAAACCATGCCACAGGTTGACCCAAGAGCTGTGAGTGAAATTGGTTAGACGAAACCTTTGGGGGCCATCAATAGCTGTGCTGTCACAAAGTCATTGTGGCTGAGGGCTTGAGCGTGCTGGCCTTGTTCAAATTGTTGACCACGCTAGATGACACGCTCTTTCCCAGAAACTGTTACTAAGGTCTGCTCAGCATAGTTGCAGTATAAACCACAGGTAGGCTCTGTGAGTGTTGAATAAACACAAATGCACCTGAGCAAGCTTCTGCAATAAGAGCTGGCTAGCCGCCCTAGTAGACAGGTATTCTCAAATACAAGTGGCCAGCTATACAATCAAATTTTGGTATATAAAAGTTTTAGCACACTAATCAAAAACACATTAATCGAATGTGCATTAATCAAGGAATGGCTGTAATTTTGGCAATTTCTTTTTATAAAAATGTAATTTTATACTGTCATAGTGTTTTTTTTTTTTTGGGGCACTATTTATCCATAGCTAGGGCCCTAACAGGTACTACCATCCCAACAGTAGTAAAGAACACCATGGACCAAGCTAAACTATATATATATAATATAATGAAAATACATCACAAAACAAGCAATTTTGTAGGATACTATGTCTACACTGGTTTGGAAATGGCACTAACTGTTAGATTATAAAACAGGCTAGGGACCAGTGTCTTAAAATTATATATATATATATATATATATATATATATATATATATATATATATATATATGCAGCAACATAAAAAATAAGTTTCATAAAGACATCTTAAGTACATCTAATACAGCAAAAGAGGTAAAGACGAATATTAAAATTGAAAAGTTCAACAAATATTGTTATCAACTCTGATAGGATCCTAGAATAAGAAATTAAAAATGGAAGGGTGATTGTTAGACTTAATAGAAATGTAACTGGCCTGTTAATCTTTACAACCAAATATCAACCTAACATTTTCCACTGAGATGAAGTGAAAAGATTATATTGAATCAATTACAAGGAAAATTGGTTCACTGTATTGTACAAGACAATTTTTCTTACCAGAATATATCTTACACATTTATAAGTGTACCATTTTTCTATACATTGAATATTGCTGCCACATCTGGTCTGGTGCTTCTGCTATCTATTTAGAGATTCTTGATAAAATAGAAAGAAGAATCTGCAATGTTATTGGTCCTGATCTGGCATATCGGCTTCACTCACTTTCCCATTGCCATAACATAGCTTTTCTTATAAAGGTTTTTATGGTAATTGCTTTGATGAACTTTCCACTATGGTATCTAGACATTATGAATCTAAGTGCAATACTAGATTTAATAGTTGAAATGGCTAGATGTTACCATATGTTCTATGCTAACAGCTTCTTTTCTCACTTGTGGAACTCTCTTCTAGCTTCTTGCACTTTCCAGTTAAGTTTGATCTCTGAAAATTTATCTTAATTACTTTGAGGGACAGTGTGCTTCAATATTCCAGAAATCTCCCCAAACCTAATTTTGAACATTAACAGACGCATGACTGGTAATTCTCAATATCTAGTCAGTTGTCACTTGACTCCAAAGGTTTTCATAGTTATGTATTATTGTATTCTCTTTCAGTCAAGTGGGTGGCTGGTTTGAATTTCACAGACTTTATTGTTATAAAGACCAAGATAAAATCACACACCATCCCCTTGTATGTGGGAGTTCCAATCATAGTGTCACACAGGAAAAAAAAAAAAAAAAAAAAAAAAAAAAAATTTACTTATTTAATATTTTAAGCTTTGTTAGTTTTTTTTCTGCATTTTTTTTCTGACCTCCTGAATATGAGGAGATTTAATCAATGTAAGATGGATATAATTTATTTTCATTTTCCAGACACTGAGCTAGACACAAATTAAACAGCTGTACAAAAGTCATCCCATGTCAAGTCAACAAGGGTGTGGCCATTACCAACATGGATTTTTTCAAATTTGGTACACTTATAGAGCTTCATGATAGAATTTGAATGGCACATATTTTATATCTCTAGGTCAAAGGATTACAGAGATATGACTCTTGCCAAAAAGGTGAATTTTAAAGTTTAAACATCAATAACTCAGTTGCTTTTTTACCCACAAAGCTAAATTATATACCATTTTAAAGTACTTGGATAGATCTAAGATGGTTATTTACTTTTTGTTTAAAGGTCAAATAAGATAATTTAACTTTGATTTTATCCTTTGACCTCAAAAAAAAAATGTATCTTAAATTTTTTTTTTTAATTTTTTTGACAACAAATCTGTCTGCCTTATGACAAGATATGTACAATAATTTGTGGTGAACTTTTGCCTGCGGCCTGAGTTACAAGGGTTTTACTGAGTTAGGCCAAATTCAAAATGGTGGATTTTGGTATTTGCCACTATATGCTAACATTTTCGTATCTCCCAATATGAAAAAGTTGTATATCTTTGGTAAGCTCTTTAAATTCTGATTAATATTTATATAAATACTATGATCATAAAATAAACAGAATTTGTGCTATTTTGAGTTAAATGCTGACCAATTCAGTGGAAAATAAACAACCATATTTTTGGTTTTGTTTTTATTTTTTTTTAATGCAAATAGATTTTTATATGAAAAAATCACATGAAAATAATTATTTAATAAAGTGTCATAAATTAATGTTAACACAAAATAATTTGAAAATATGCAATAAATGATGTTAATGGTCAACAAATTTTCAGTATTTTTATATATATTTTAAAAAAATTAAGTTTTGATTTGAAAAAATGATACATTAAAATATTAAAAAAAAAAAAAAAAAAAAAAAAAAAAGAAGAAGATTCCTATCATTTACAACGAGATTAAGAAGCAAACTTTTTTTTCTTGTTGGTAAAAGCAGCTATGCATTGGTGGTAATCTGTTAAATTATATTGTTTATCTTAAGTCAGTGTACCAAAGATGAGCCCTCACAATCATCAGTAATATTTTGATGTATCATACAAACACACAGTGTGTTCCAGCACCACCTGCTAGGATACATTCTTTTGGTCTGATCTCAGAAATTTTGAAAAACTAATTCTGTTTGAATTTTTTTATTTAAATAATTGGTATATTCCTTTTAGGTTACAAAGTACAAAATACTTTTGTCCCTGAACTCTTTTACCATTCTTTAAGATTGTCTTATAGTCGTTCTTCACTCTGCCGACTTCTTTACTCTTCATCAATTGTCTCTTGTGGGAATCTACATTTTCATATATTTGGCAGAGATAATATTCTTTGTTCATTTCTAAGTTTTTGGACTTGTCTTTGAATTCTTTGGATACTCCAGCTTTTTGAGAGTATTGTCAAAAATTTTTACTTTTTGGGACCTCTTTTCACAAGCTGAAAGCTTTTTTTAATTGTGTAATAATTTCACTTTCATCAGATCTTTTGTGCTCTTCTAACACTGGTAGATTCTTGATGAGAAATGTTTCATTTTCTTTGATACTGCTTTTTTTAAAAATTTTTTCCTACTTTTTATTTCTCATAACTGGTTTGTTTTTCAAGTTTTTGATGCTGATTCACCAATCATTGACAATGACTCATTAAGAAGTTGCAATTCATTTTCCATATCTAAAAAATGCTAGAAGGCTGTGGCTGGTCTTCAGCTGATACATTGAGAAAACTCAGGTAATGCTGTTAATTTTATTTGACAATGGGTTTGCTTGTTAATTTCTTTGTAAATGTTAAAAATCTTTTTTTAAATATTCATTTCAATGTATCACTTTTTCAGATCAAAACTTAATTTTTTAAATATATAAAAAAAATGAAAATTTGATTGTTTTGTGCATTTAGTGTAACATGTCAATAAAAAGTTGTTAGCCATTAACATCATTTGTTGCATATTTTTATATTATTTTGTTTTCTTAACATTAATTCCTGACACTTTTTAAATATTTACATGAAAATGTAAATAAAATCAAAAATAAGGTTGTTCATTTTCCACCACCAACCCAAAATAGCACAAATTCTGTTCATCTTATGATCACAGTGTTTACGTGAATATTAATCAGCATTCAAAGAGCTTTCTAAAGATATGCAGCCTGACTATATTGGGTGATATGAAAATGTTAGTGTATAGTTGCAAATACCAAAATCCGCCATTTTGAATTTTGCCCAACTCAGTAAAACCCTTGTAACTCAGGCCAGTCAAAAGTCTACCAGAACATTTTGGATATATTCTGCCATAAAGCAAACAAATTTGTTGTCAAATTTAAAAAAAAATTTAAATATACATTTTTGAGAAATTAACAGTCAAAGGGTAAGGTCAAGGTCAAATTATCTTATTTGACCTTTAAACAAAAATAATAAATAGGTCACCTTTTAGATCTATCCAAGTACTTTAAAACAGAGTGTGTATATATATATATATATATATATATATATATATATATATATATATATAAAATAATATAGATATTGATAAAAACAACTGAGATTTAAAAACATTGTGACTATTTTCCAAAATTCACCTTGTTGGTAAGGGTCAAAGGGTCATATTTCAGGAATCCTTTAACCTAGAGATGTAAAAGACGTACCATTCAATTTCTAACATGAAGCTCTATAAGTGTACCAAATTTGAAAAAATCTGTGTCGGTGATGGTCAGACTCTTGTTGATTTGACTCATAATAAGAATTATAGATTTAAAAATGAGAGAGTGAGAAAAAAAAAAAGATAAACTGTAGTATTTTTGGGAACTTAAAAATACTATTTACTGAAAGGGAGAGTTTTTTTTTGTTCTTTCTTCAAGCAATGAATTACCTAATTAGTACTCACCTTTACCAATGTTTCCAAATAAATAAAATGAAACATAATGATCTTGGCACTCTGCAAGATAAAAAAAAAATATATCATGAAAGGAACAAAAAAAAAAAAAACAGAATTCCAAATAAAGAATCATTGTAATGCATAGAAATCTTTAACAAAATTATTTCAAGTTTTAACCATCCTGGCACTGTAAAGATTCATTCTCATGCTTAGATGAGTAAATCAGTCACACAATATATATTTATTACGTCAAATTTTATATTAGTAGATATGGGTGTTTGAAATACCCCCCCCCCATTTTAAACTGTGTGTATTATATCAGCCTGCAAATATGAGAAAACTTAAGAAAGGAAATGTGGTTTCTAGCAGGGTTTGAACCTGTGTCACCTTTCATAGAACTCACTATTTGATCTGGCATGGTTTAGACTGCTTGACTACAGAGAACATCACAGCCCATTCAAAACTAACCAGATATGGGTACTCGAGAAAAATCTGAACAATGGTGGGGCATTTCACACACAGGTATTCCAAAAAATAAGGTTTGAAGTAATAAAAATGTTGGATTAAAAATAAATCCAAAATTTTGGTTAATTATTATTTAAAAATATGTATTCATCAAGACGCAGAGATTTTATAATAAAAATGCCAATTAAATTGTAGTGAATTGTAAATAAACCAGACTGTGATGACAACATGTTCTCATATAAGGAAGCTAGTATCAACACAGAAATTTCTAACCCACACCTAACCTTAACTGATACTTACTTTGCCACCGTAAATTATACTTGTATCCATAAGGATACAAGTATAATTTACGGAGTCAAAGAGACCAACACCCCTTGATAATAATAATAATAAAAAATTTTTTAATTCTCTTTCCCCCACCAACTTAACCTATACAATAATTTAGCTTATATGAAAAAAGTAAATCATTTTTTTGAAAGTTATTCACCATTGCTTGAAGATGAAACCAAAGTTTAAATTTTAAGCTTAATTTAAGATTTAGGTTTCGAAACATGGTCATTTCTGTGTTGCAATGAATACATATTTTTAAATAATAATTATAATATTATGCATGCTCTACTGTGTATTGAGCACTGTTTTTAAAAATAAATGTTAAAAGAACTCTGCATTATAAATCTGACTATTCTTTTTATTTTGAGATATACATGTGTGTGTGCATATGTATAAAACAGAGAAAGAAAAGCAGATATATAAGGAGTACACTAGAATGGCACACAAAAAAATTGCTCAATACCATAATGAAAGAGCATTTATATTTTTATATACATATAATAATGTGACAGGCACAATTTTATATGTGTGCATGTGTAACTTGGGATTTTATCTAGTATATGGGTTTGTTTAATTTTTGTACAAGAATTTGTAGCCAAATTGCTTAATTTTTTTATAAATAGTAAAGAGAAACATTTCAATATCATTGAATTGGTAGAATTTTTGAATACAGTATAAAGTAATGTATTTATTAACTCTTGTTTAATTGTACAGGTTTCTTTTTTTTTTTAAATTTACATTAGGATTATTTATTGTCCTTATCTTTGTTGCTGGTAGCACAACATTTTGGTCATCATGCCATCTGGCCTCCTTCAGGTTGTTGCTTGTTGATCCATGTAAACTTTGAATTGAACCCTTTATTTAATCTACAGGGTGCGAGGCAGATTATCCTTGTTCTGCTGTCCTTATTTAGCATTGCTCAGTTAACATTTAGCCTGTTTCCACCGAGTCAAAGTCTGCACTACCTAACCCAGTGATTGAACTCACAATTACCAAGTCAACCAATTCATGAACCAATGCTTTCGCCCACTAGGCTATAGCATCATTGGACAATCCAAAGTCTATAATTTAGAGCCTTAAGCCTAATCTGCCCACTTTTCAGAAACTTTAATAATAAAAAAAAAACAAAAAAAAAACAACAATCTCCCAGTTCCAAATAGAACCGCTATTTACATTATTTGGACTATTGTCCTCATCTTTGTCGCCATATTTATTACGTTTCAGCCACTGTACGCTCTGGCCTTCTTCACGTGATTGGAATGTCGAACTGAACCCTTTATTTCACTGACTGGGGTAGACCGTTTTAGTTCCACATGCCATGTTTAATGGATGTCAATTATCAGTTATCTCCTGTTAATTCCCCTCTCCAAGTTCTCCACTGCCTTAACCAGGTATTGAACTCACACTGTGTCCTGTCACTGGATCTAACTAATGCCTTTATCCGCTGTGCCATCTTTCCAACCACCTGAAGAAGGCCGGAGTGTACAATGGCCGAAACGTAATAAATATGGCAACAAAGATGAGGACAATAGTCCGAATACTGTAAATAGTGTACATAATACCTCATCTCAGAAATATAGACAGATACCAAATAGAACCAACTAATAATTTAAATTATTAATGTTTAAATGTGCTATGCAGAGCGCCAGGTTATCATTGTCCCAGAGCAGTCCTGAATAAATTTTAAACCATCCATAAAATCAACATTTTTTTAAACTTATTTACAGGTTGTTAGTAGCATAATAAAAAACATCATTAAAATGATTGGTAAATAAATATTTATTTCTATTCATTCAATCCTTAAACTGTGGTTTTTTTTTTGCCCCTACAGTTACAACTACCCCACTTGATCACTGCTTTCCCTGGGTTGTACTGCCAAGGAGTGCTATGAACAGAGATTTGCAGGAGGTAGTCGAGCATTTCATTTCAAAGGCAGCACTTCCAGTCTTGACTTTATTCTCCTCATGGCTGAAGTAGCCATTCTCAAAGCATGAGGAGCTCCCTGGGAGGATGAGGCTGATCTCTAAGACCACCTTTAGATGGTTGTCCCTTCCAATTACAACCTGAAAGAGTTGCTACTACAGCAGCTGAGAATCAAGGTTTTCTGCAATGCCAGTGGCTTTGAGGTCAAGCAATTCTCACCCAAACTCTTAACAAGACAAATATTCAATGAAAATTCACTTCAGTGGTGTCAAATGTTGCTAGTTCTCTAGCATCTTCTGGCCAATTGAACAGATCAAAGAGTATGTCTTAAGAACACGAGTCTCCAAATTCTAGAAACACTAGTTAGAGAAGTTATTGCTGATGGAGTTGAAAGCATCATTTGTCATCCGTTTGATCTGGACACCCTTACCCCACTTTTAATTTTATTGCTTTTTACATGGGCTAAAGATTCCACTGGAGTCTTTGTACAAAAATTGTAATCTGATATTTTTTTTTCACTTTTTTTTTTTTGTAATGCAAGTTTGAATTTCTTTGATACCTTATTGTAAAAACTGGAAAATATTGTTTTATCACCTTAATATTTTTAGTAATTTACAAATTATTGTAAATATTGTTACAAAAGCTTTTTTTAAAAATTGTATTGAAAACTAATTTGTAGTTTAATTTTTTTTTTAAATCTTTTTAGGGCAAAATTTTAAATATTTATATATTTTAATTCAAGTAATACAGATTGTTAAAAAAAAAAAAAAAAAAAAAATTTACACACACAAACTGAAATATTGAAGTTTTAAAAATGAATAAATGTAAAAACATTAGTTAAATATTACTTTTTATAAAAACCCAAACTTCCAATTAAACCACCTTAAATAAATTTATATGAAAATATTCTTTTTCCTTTTCATGCTCAGAGTAAATTTTCATACGTTTTACCTTGATTTTGATGATCAAACAGCACAAATTTTGCAAATTTTTATTTATTTATATAACTATGGTGCTTCTTATCTGAGTTTATCATATGTATACAAGTAATATTCATGGAAATAAATTTAATTTCTTATACTTCGTGCTTTCCATGTTTATCTTTTCCTTTTACAACTGACAACTTTTCAATACTTTTGAGGATGGTTAAAATTTATTGTATAAAAAAAATCTGCTGTAAAACACTGAAACTTCAGGTAATTTGCTTTTTAAGCCCTGCACTAAGTATCTAATAAAAATTTCCCAAACAGTTATATTTATGTGTAAATTTACATACTTAATTCGAAAATAAAGAAATTTTGATGAAAATCTACCTTTTTGAAGTTATTGACAATAAAAGTATGGACTCATTAGTGTCATGGCAGCCATTACTGGTGTTGTTTGCATACATTTGCTGCAAAATAGACATTCACCTGTCTCGATTATTGTGCACACTGATGCTATTAATGCCAATGATGGTTACCATGCCATAGTCAACAACAACATGAATAAGTCTGAACTTTTATTGTCGATAACTCCGAAGTGGTAGATTTTAGAAAAATTTCTTTGTTATTTTCGAATTAGGCATGTAAATTTAGAGAAAAAAAAAAAAAAAAAAGCTGTTTGGGAAATTTTTATTACATACTTAGCACAGAGCTTAAACAAATTACCTGAAATTTCTTATGGAATCATTGGCATAAATTAGCATAATTTTTTGAGGTTCTTTTTGAGCCATTATCTACATTATATATATTGCAAAATAGGACAAATAGGGTCCAAAAACCAGGTAGGTGTTCAATCTCCTATTATCTTTTTCTTACCCCCCAATTTCACTTTGTGATACTGTGCAGCAGAGTTGACAGAAAAAGAGACATTTTTAAAATGTTCAAAATAAATCGTTTCAGACAAATAGAAATTAATATCCTATTTATTTTAGAATAATAGAAAAAAAGGTTTACAAATAGTTATGGCCAGAATTCCAATTGCAAATCATGGAGAAGCTCAATGGAAAAGTACTGCATTATCTTTCCCAAAAAAGCATGACAATACACATAAAAAAGGTGTTATACAATAAGCATTACAACTAGAAAAAAAAAAAAAAAAAAAAAAATTCTTTCAAAACTTTATTTTTATATTGCCATGGATTAAGCAATCCAGATCAATTTTTTTTTTTTATTTTATAAAAATGACAGGGGGTGGGGTCAGTTTGCTATGTACAGAAGCCAAAACAAAATCTGCTCATATCATGCAATTAACCCCCCCCCCACACACATATTGCTATTTATTAAGCCTCGAAGATTATGATATCCATTTCTCATTTTTATTTGAAAATGTGATATTCTCTCCATTAACCCTTAAACGGA